AAAGAAAAACAACAAGAGAATAAGAAAAAAGTAGAATGACATCAAACATTATATTTTACTCTGAAAAATTACAGAACAGCTGAAGTTATTGTTTCCTATGTAGGTTACTATAATTATTACATGCAAAAATAACTAGTGTTTCTAGGTTGGATTTTTGAGATAGTATGCAAATCGTAAGCACAGTTTCAATAAAACACATTGAAATACTGTTACTTGAATTCACATTGAATACACTGTTTCTTTTTAGTATATAATTTTGTACTCCTGAACACCTCAAATTTCACAGGGATCCCTCAATCCCCACTCTACTCTCACTGTGTAAGGAAAGACCACTACTCATCCACTGGACAGCTTTCTCAGGACACTGCCTAAATCAGTATGTACGGGGTGATGACTCAGATAGTATTATCCATGAGGGATGGCTGAGTAACTGTGAAATAATAAGAAATATATATATATATATATTAATCTCTGTCCCAGTTCCCATCACAGAGCTCCTATTACCCTTCTAATTTGCTAAGTGATAAGAGCACTAGGAGCATCTTTTGTCCTATTGAGACAACTCTGGGTAGATTCCTGAATGGCTCCTGGATGGGGGCTGGTCACCAGAAAGATCAAGGTATGATTAGAAGCTTGGAATTTTTAGCTCCCCCCGCCCATCTTCCAGAGAGGGGAGAGGGGCTGGAAATGAAGTTAATAGTCAATCATTCCTACATGAAAATGCCTCCATAATATCCCAATAGTAGGGAGTTCAGAGAGCTTCCAGGTTGGCGAACACATCCACACTGAAAGAGTGAAGCACCCCAACTCCACAGGGACAGAAGCTCCTCTGCTGGGACCCTCCCAGACCTCACGCTATGCATCTCTTCACTTGGTTTTTCATTTGTATCTTCTATCATATCTTTTAATAAACCAGTAAATGTAAGTGTTTCTCTGAGTTCTGTGAGCTGCTCTGGCAAATTAATTGAACCCAAGGAGGAGATCATGGGAACCTCCAATTTGTAGCCAAGTTGGACAGAAGTTGTGGGTAACCTGGGGTACTACTTCTTGTGATTGGCATCTGAAGTGGGGTGAGAACAGTCTTTTGGGACTGAGACCTTAACCTGTGGGATCTGATGCTATCTCCAGGTAGATGATGTTAGAATTGAGTTAAATTGTAGGACACCCAGCTGATGTCATGGAGAATTGCTTGGTGGATGTACAGAATAAAACCACTACACATTTGGTGATCAGAAGCGTCAGAAGTGAAGTGTTCTATGTTACTTTTACATATGGAGATACACAGTAGGAGACACAGTAAGGAAGACACACGGTGAGGAAGAACTGGGTTTTCCCTACACAGGAAAGAAAGACCCAACTGAGTTTTTATAATACAGTAACATTATTAGCAAGACAACTCAGCTCTTGTATCTCTTTTGAAGTATTTCTTTCTAAGCTCCTGGTATTTGCTGTGACCAGTTGTTATTTGTACTAAGTAGTTGGGAAGTTGTGCTTAAGAACGTGGTGTCTGAGTTTGCAGGTCCGGGGTTAAATTCTGTTTTTCTCACTCACATTCTGTGTAAATTGGGATTAGATACATAAACCCTGTGGGTCTACTGTCCTTATTGGAAAAATAGTGGTAATTTACCTAAAGGTTTTTTTTACTTTTAATATTTATAGCACCAAGTTTATTCTTATATATGGTGTGAGGAATAGATCTAACTTTATCTTCTTCCAAATAGCTATATAATTTATCCAAAAGCCTTTATTAAAACCTTATCTCAATGATTTGAATACCACTTTTTTTACTGAGGTCATGATAGTTTATAACATTGTGACATTTCAGTTGTACATTATTTGTCAGTCACCATATAAATGTGCCCTTTTACCCCTTAGGCCCACCCCCAACCCCCTTAACCTCTGGTAACTACTAATCTGTTCTCTTTGTCCATGTGTTCATTTATCTTCCACATATGAGGGAAATCATACACTGTTTGTCTTTCTCTGTCTGGCTAATTTTGCTTAACGTAATACCTTCAAGGTCTATCCATGTTGTTGCAAATAGGACGATTTTATCTTTTTTCTGGCTGAGTAGTATTCTATTGTACATATATACCACATCTTTATCCAATCTTCAGTTGATGGGCATTTGCATTGCTTCCACATCTTGGGTATTATGAATAGTGCTGCAATGAACATAGGGGTGCATAAGTATCTTTGAATTGTTGATTTCAGGTTTTCTGGATAAATACCCAGTAGCGAGATAGCTGGATCATATGGTATTTCTATTCTTAAGTTTTTGAGAAATCTCCATACTGTTTTCCATAGTGGCTGCAGCAGTTTGCATTCCCACCAGCAGTATATAAGTGTTCCCTTTTTTCCACAACCTCTCCAACATTTGCTATTTTTTATTTTGGTGATTATAGTCATTCTAATGGGTGTAAGGTGGTATCTAAGTATAGTTTTGATTTGCATTTCCCTGATGATTAGTCATGTTGAACATTTTTCCATGTGCCTGTTGGCCATCTGTATAGCTTCTTTGTAAAAATGTCTGTTCATATCCTCTGCCCATGTTTTGATTGAGTTGTTTCTTTTTTTCTTGTTCAGTTGTGTGAGCTCTTTATAGACTTTGGAGATTAACCCTTTGTCAGATATATGATTTGCAAATATTTTCTCCCAGTTGGTGTGTTGTCCTTTTGTTTTGATCCTGTTTTCCTTTGCCTTGCAGAAGCTCTTTAGTCTGATGAAGTCCCACTTGTTTATTTTTTCTTTTGTTTCCCTTGTCTGAGTAGACATGGTATTCAAAAAGATCCTTCTAAGACCAATGTCAAAGAATGTACTGCCTATATATTCCTCTAGGAGTTTTATGGTTTCAGGTCTTACCTTCAAGTCTTTGATCCATTTTGTGAATGGCGAAAGATAATGGTCTATTTTCATCCTTTGCATATGGCTGTCCAGTTTTCCCAACACCATTTACTGAAGAGACTTTCCTTTCTCCATTGTATGTTCTTAGCTCTTTTGTCAAAGATTAACTGTCCATGGATGTGTGGTTTTATTTCTGGGTTTCCAATTCTGTTCCATTGATCTATGTGCCTGTTTTTGTACCAGTACCAGGCTGTTTTGATTACTATAGCTTTGCAGTATATTTTGAAGTCAGTGAGTGTGATGCCTCCAGCTTTGTTCTTTTTTCTCAGGATTGCTTTTTTGTACACATGAAACTAATATAATGTTGTATGTCAATTATACTTCAATAAAAATTATCAGTGGTAGAAATTATCAACCTTAATTAATATAATTAACAACGTATAAAAGCAAAGTTGAATTTATTCAGGAATAGCAGAGGAATTGCATTTCGGGACAAGCAAACTATGGGTGAACCAAAGAGGTAAGTCCAAAGAGACAAAGGGAAGGTCAACTTTTACAAGGTATTTAGGGAGAAATTGGGAAGGGTTGTTTTGAATAAAAGTTCATTGGAGAAGAACCAGAGTTAGAGGTTGTGATGGTTTCTTACTGGCTGCAAGCAGTGGCTAGTGCATTGTCTTGGGGGCAGGAAGGGATCTTCCTTCCCTAAAAGCAGGGGAGATGAAATTCCCATGTGAAAAATGTCCTCCCCTTTACCAGAAGAAAAGTAACATGCTTATCATCACGGATAAGAAGTTGACATGAAAACATTTTATACAAAACTTCTATACAAACAGACCTTGTCAAAATACTTGTCTTCCTTCTTGCTGGTTATGTAGGCTGCAAGAGTAATACATGGTTGAAAGCTCCCCTCTCAGGGCTTCCTGACGCATTTAATAGAGGGTTTTCCTTTATTTTCACACAGTGAAGTTACTGGATATTTGATAATCTAGTTTTACTTTCTTTATGGTTCGTATTAAAGAGAAAATACCTCCTTACTAAATGCCCTTAGAAATATTACAAAATTGATTATTCTTTAGGTGAAAATATATCCCAATGTCTTCTAAAGACTATATATTTCACAGGCTTTGTTATCCACACCTGACAGAACATTCAAAAATAGATAACAAATAAAAGAGCTAAAATATATTACAACTTTTAAATAAAAAATAAACTTCTAATTACTTTCAGAATGAGCGTAGGGTGAATCTGAAATTACGTTATATTTAGATATTGATTTAAGGATATTGTGATGTAAACAAGTTTATCTCAAAGGTATTTGAAGGCAATTCATCTCAAGTGTGGAAGAGAATAACAATTATAAAAAACTTGCAATTTATAACAATTCTTTTAAAGTTATTGTTCTTTTTAATGCAATTGTTAGTGACCTAAACAATCACATGCCTTAGTCCTTCACGCCTCATACCCCAGGTCTTGTCCCTATGAAAGTTTCTGGAACTGAGCACAGTGTTGAGTTCGGCAGCCTTACTGAATGGGAAATAGAATTCTGTTGGGTGTCTGTAGGAAATTGCCCATTCTACCAGGGAAAATTTTCTATTTCACATTTTAGTTTGTAATCCTTACAAACCCTAACCCTAACCCTAACCCTAACCACTCCAGTTCTTCTTTAATTAAACTCCTTAAATTGATTCTAATTGCAGGAAAGTTCCTGGATCCAACCATCGACCCTCCACCGAGATCCCAGTTCCCAGACCATTGAACTGCTTCAGCCTGGCTAGTAGGACTCCTGGGCAACCGCTGGCAAAACAGCTTTTGACTTAAAAACCGTTTTCAACTTAAGAGGAAAACGTCTTAGTTTCCAACATAACTGGCCAACACAACTCTAAGCTTTTACCTTAAAACTGTTAGCGTTAGTAACTAAAAATAACCAGGAAGCAAAGCGGCTCCACAGGCCACGAAACACGCTCCAGCGTTTCCAAACCCGGAAGAGACGACTTGGGAACGAGGCGGGGGACGCACAGGCCCCGCCCCTGAAGCCCCGCGTGCTCCGCCCACAAGGCCCCGCCTCAACCACTCCCGGTCGCGGCGCAGGCCACGCCTCTCTCCGCGCCCCGCCCCCTGACGGTCGCGCCCCGCCCAGGCCCCGCCCCCGGCCCGCCCCGCTTCTTCCGCGCGCGCGCAGTTTCCCGCAGACCCGGAAGCGGGAGAGCGGAGCGAAGGTCACTCTGTGGAGCGTGAGTTTCTGTCTTTCCAGTTTAACCCTGGGTTTCGCAGTCCTCTCTCCTCCACACCTGGGGTCTCGGGGTCGCTGCGGACCTTAAAATCTCTACACCCGCCTCTCCACCTCAAGTAAATTCAGACGTCGCCGTGAGAGGCTGGGGGGAGGCGGGGAGCTCTTCTCTTTCGGTTTAAAGCCCCTGAGGCTCGTCCGTCCTTTCTGCCCTCGGTCCACGTAGACACCGCCTTTCGTGTCTTTTTCCTGCTTTTAAATCCCTGTTCTGACCTGTCCGCCCGCCCCGCGCCCTGTACAGTCCTCTTTCGCGAGGTGCGTGTATTCCCTTCGCGTCCCCCAAGCCTCGTCCTTCTCGGCCCCTGGGGGCAGCGCTGGCCGCCCAGCTCCGGGAGAGGCCCCGCCGTGTCCCGGGTCCTGGGATTCTGGAGACCCCACGCTTCTCTTGAGACACCCTCCCCGCCCCCTCCTTGTTTCCTCCTCCAGCGGGTGCGTCTGCTCCCCAGGCCTCTTCTTCCTAGTCACCCCTTCCCCTGACCCCGCGTTGGGGAAGGTGACCTGGGCCTGCTGTTTGACACCCAGTGTTCTTCCGTCCTAAATTCCACTCCAATGGAAAACGTGCTCTTCTGGGAGGCGAGCGTCATATTCCTTCGCCATCCCTGTGAATTTCTGGGCGAGGGACATCTGGAGAAATCGAGACAGAGAGGGGCTGAGACAGAAATAGAACTGAGAAGGAGAAAAGAATGAGTGAGAAGAGATGTCAGCTAGAGGATGGGTGAGGGCCTTGCAAAAGGACAGTGAAAGGAGAGTGAAAGAGAGTAAACGGAGAAAGTAGCAGGTGGATAAAATAGAGAAGTTAGAGAAAAGCGGATCACCAGGGTGATGAAGGTGAGGAAGATAGGAGAGGGGCCCTTGATGAGCGGTAGGCGCGGGGACAACAGGGGTGAGGTACTTCAGACAGAGGGCCAGGAAGAGATGATAAAAGAGTTGGAGCTATGGCTGACAGAGCCACCTGGTGCTAGGACAGAAAGGACCAGAGGTGACAAGGAGAGCAGAATAGCAGAGCAGAAAGTATAGCCACCTGGGGGTGCCAGAGAGTGAAGACCAAAGGAGAGTAACAGGGAAAGAACTGGGAGAGCAGAGAGGGAGCAGGGATGGGGGAAGAAACAGGCAGAAATACATGGAGATTTAAAACAATCAGAAAAGTTTGGGAGAAAGAGCAAGAAGAGGGGAAACAGGTTGCAGAGTGGGGCGGACCAGATGTGAAGGAAGGAATACAGAGAAGAGCAGAAAGAGCAGGAGAGTAGAGAATAAAAAAAGACAGAAAGAGAGTGAAGAGAAAGAAATGAGGAAATAGATATACAGAATGAGAGAGGAAAACACATCGTAGTGAAGAGATGGGACCCATATCCAGATGAGTTGATTAGATATGATTGATTAACTTGTGATATATTGGTTCATGACTTTATAATCTAAGAATTTAAAATTTTGCCTAAATTATGTAAATGAGGATGAGAGTTGCACAATTCCTCTCTGTAAAGCTTGCATATTTTATAGTTATTAGTATCAGAAGATAACTTCCCTTTGCAATCCCTATTCAGCCAGAGGGCAATGACTTAACTGAGTCAGCTGCGGGTCACCCTCTACCCTTTGCCTGGGATGGGGGAGGGTGTGTGTGTTTGGTGGAGGGGAGTGGAACAAGAAAAGACTCTGTCACTATTTGGTGACATATACATTTAATTCATTAGTCTTTTTGTAGCTTGAGATAAATCTTAGTTCGTTCCATTTCTGCTTTCCTACAAATAATAACTTCTGAAATAAGCTTTGGTGGCCTCCTGTAATCAACTCATCATTCTTTTCTAAATATGATAGACTCTCAATATTTTTTACTTTGACACTAGAATTATTTAGCTTTAAAAAAATTAAAAATTGTTTCCCTTTTAAATTTTTCCTGGTTTAAATTTCTCCTCTTTATCTTCTATATTGGAAATGTTCTTTGGTAACTAGTGAATAATTTTAGACTATTTCAATGAGGACTTGGTAATGATGTCAATGATCTTTTATCTTAACGGTCAAAACCTAGTTTAACCAGTCTAATATTCAGTTTTCTTCCCTTTATGTGATCTGTTAAAATAGTGAGCTGTGAGCTACCAAGTAGATGTTCCCCTCAAGTGCCTCTTGTCTGCTCTCTGCAAATGTTGAAGGATGGCTGGATTGAGTTGGAACCTTTTTCCAAAAGAGCGTATCTATTTGTGATGGAGAAAGTTGCTCAAAAAAACAAAACCCTCAATAAAGGTGAAATTAAAATTAAAAGAATTGCTCAGAGCTTATTTCTACACCTGACCCTTTTTCAGCGTTTTCCACACTAATAGTTATGTTTTTGCAATTCTGTATTTTAAAAATATTTTAGTGTGATTTTCTGGAACAGAGGAATTAAGAGCTTGGTATCAGTGTGATCAGACCTTGAAAGAGAAGTTTCCTTAGCTCAGGCATGTGAAAGATGGCCCTGGTATTTTAAATAGAAAGATGATAAGGACAACCTGCCCACTGGTCCATCCAGCCACCATTTCAGAATTCAGGTACAGCTACTTCTGTTCACTCAACTCAGACCTTGGAAACGTCTCCCTCTCTGGACCTCAGTGAACCCATGTGTAACATGAAGATGAGAGACTAGACCAGAAGCTCTGAGTCTGAGCAACACTCATCTCTGAAATGATTGGGCAAATTGAGTGTGTGGCCGTTCTTCTTGGAGAGAGTGCCCAGTTGTAATTAGAATTGTAAATAGGTCCTACTCCTCCAAAAATGAAAAACCAAAACACCAGCATGAAGTCCGGGACATAGGCTCAGAATTAGGGAGACCATTGTGACCTGTCTTTCTCAGCATTAAGGGTAAACTTGAAGGGAGATTGTCACTCCTTGGCCTCTGCTGGCTCCTCACTGTGGCTACACAGCCCTGTATCACCAGGACGCCTGCTAGGGTCTCCAGCCTCATCCTGGGAGCTTACCGTCTTCTCATGGCTCACTCTGCCCCAGTCACGTTTGCCATTTCTCTGTTCCCTAACACCACACCTTTTCTGTCTCAGATCTTCGTTCCTGCTCTTACCCTCTGTCCCTGAATCGTCTTGGCTCTGACCCTTTCTTCCCCTTCAGGTCTAGGCTCAGAGATGTTTCCCCACCCCCTCCCACCCACCATCTAAAGCTCCGTTGACCCGTCAATCTCTGTCACCTTACTCAAGTTTTCCTGCCTCCATATCAATCACCTACATCTAAACTGTCCTTCTCTATAGATTATTTTGAGTCTTTCCTGTTTTCCCTCCATTGGAGGGCGCACAGTCTCTGTCTCCTTCCCAGGACGGCTGTGGCACTTTACTTTTGGGTTGTGTTTACACAACAGGGGCTGTGGTTTGGGCTGAGTCCGCCTCAGGAAGACCTCGAGGCTAGGGCAGGTGATGAGGATGATTCCCTTATTTGTTCTGGAAATTGCATCGCTAATTGATATAAACCTCCTGTGGCTACTTATTTGCTCAAAATAAGAGCAAAAAGATGTACTGAAGCCTGAAAAGCTCTCCAGAACTGGTGTCCTCACACAGTCGGCTGAGATATCTCCATATTTAGCCTGCTGTGTCCTGCTCCCCTGTACCTCCCAGATCTTCCAGGCTCTGCACGTCCAGGCACCAGTTGCCGTCTTGGGCAGGAGCTTTACCTTCCAGCAATTCATCTGCTCTGAATAAGGGATAATGATTTCACTTTGGTAAGGATGGGGAGAAGGTCAGGAGCCTAAGGGGGTGTCAAAGAGGCCCCCATTAAAGAGCTAGGTTGTCTTGAAATTTGCTGTGAGTGGGGAGAACAGGAAACAGTGAGATCTGGGGCCTCGCTTTATTTGTGGCGTCCTCACTGAAGTCAATCCAACTAGTCCACAAATGCCTTTAAAACTGGACTCCACAATCTCCCCATTTGCTGGCAAGTTTTACAGGAAGGCCAACTTCTTGATCTCCACACTGAAGGCCCAGTGTCGTTCCATTTGCAGCTTGTGTCCATTCCTCTTGCAATGCCTGGTGCCTCTGTCCCTTTGCCTTTTAGCCCCATTTGCTCATGCATGCATGGAGAAGAAGTAGAAAAATGGGGAACACTGGACAGGAGCAGGAGGGTTGTGGAAGCAAGTGTGGGCCTCTAGATGAGCCCAGTGAATGGTGTGTGCACCTGTCCCAAGCATAGTTGTGTGATCAAGGGGTATGGGGAACAGTTGGAAAGGGACGTCTCAGGCCAGGCTGGAACACCTGGAAGTGGGTTTATGGGTAGTTGTGGGGCTGAATGGATTGGTTTGGGGTGCCACAGTATCTTAGCTCAGGTTCCCTGGGACAAGGATGCTGAGACTGAGGTTTGCATGCATGGGTTTAATTGGGAAACTCATGATCACACCTGAGAAGGAATGAAGGCAGTGGAATTAGGCAGAGAGAAATATTATCCTGCATTGTAGTTAGAACCAAGGCCTGAGCTGAGCCCACACGGAGCTCTGGCTGCAAGAGAATGGGTTCCTTGGTCCTGAGGGGTGGATCCAGGGGGTGCCCCACAGCATCTACTCCACAGGGTGACTTCTCTGGGGTCTTTGGGGAGAGCAAGAATCATCGTGCAACCCACAGAGTAACTGTAGGGAAAATCAGGGATCCTTTTATAGGTTACCTTTGGTATTTTGGAGTATTTTGAGTTTCAAGTGAAGAAAGTTTCAGATACATTTTGGAAAATACAAAAGAGAATTTGGAGTGTTTCCTTGGAAGATGTTGGGGTATCGTTGGAACATTTGCATCACTGCGGACATCTCTCTTTTATTAGTAGATTTTGGAGGTGACCGTGTTGGGCTGGGGTCATTGTGAATGAAAATATAGTGTCTTGGATCTGATGGGTCCTTGGATGTCTTCATGTGGATTATTCCATCATGAATGCATGAGTTATTAGGGTTTGGAATGTTTTCTGGGATTTCATAGCAGTATGGGGGGATCATTAAGGAGTGTCTGGGGAATGTATTGAACCCCTGGGTTTGTTTGAGTCCAGATGGGAAACAGTGGGTCCTAAGCCTCAGATGGCAGAAGGTTTTCATTAGGGAGGGCCTGCTGGGGGTGGGTTTATGGGTACAACTTGAGAGGGGCTACAGGGGCCTGTGACTTAGGGAAAGGTTGTTCCAAGAATCAGAGAGCCATCAGCACCACAGGGACCTACAGCACCGTAGCTTGTCTTTGGGAAGATGCAGCTGCCACTTTCTTACTGCTAGGCCTGCCATGGTTACTCTACTGTCCTCTCCCTGCCTGTCCCAAAACACACACATGTGCAGGTGCACACACACACTCACAGTGCAAGGTAGCTGGTGAGCTGAGGGGCAAGATGTTTTAAACTAAAGGTGGAACAAGGATGTGTCCCTAATAGGAGAGCTACTATGTTCTAGAATGGGAATTTGGGGACAAGAAGGGGATCACTGTTTGGAGACTTAGAGCCCTAGTAATGGCAAGGAGACTCAGGAACTGGATCATCCTCCCTGGGTGGGCCCATGCTCAGCAATTATTAGAATAGAATGGGACGAACTAATGGGGTCACATTCAGAGAAAGGATCTTGTCTTTCTGACCAACACACTCTCACCCTATGTAAACACTTCTCCCTTTCTCCATTGTCTTCTCTAGAATGGCAGAGCTGGTGCTTCCCCAGGTAGGTGACTTGAGTAGGAAAAGTGGTTTGTCTGTTGGTGCCTCTCCTGTGTCCTCTCCCTCATCTTCCAGCTTCCCCTCTACTGTTTGTTCAGACAGACACTTCCTGTTGTTCTTTTACGGCTGCTTTGCACAATCCCAACACCCAGTCAAGTCAGGATTTGAGGCTATGAATTTTTAAGTCATTGTCATTGAAAAGTGAGAAATCTTAGACAATAGGAACTTGTCTCCATCAATGGGTCTAGGCAGCCAGGAAACCTCTTCTCTTTCTGCTGAATTTAGGCTCTTTTATTGCCGAAGTAGGGATGCTCAGCCTCAGGCAGCTACCCCATGGGTCAGCTCACCATGCTTCTAGTTGTACTTACTCTTTCCCTTCATACCTGTTGAGGGCAAGGACAATGGTCTGGGTGAAGGACCCTTGGCTCTACTCTCTGCTGCTGCTTCTGGTCACCTCCCTTCTCACTCGTTCCAGGGCAAAGGACCCCTGCACACATCAGTCCCCCAAAGTGAAGACTTTGCGAGAGGGTGTGCTAGTTAAACTTTGTGTCCTTCTTGTTCATTCATTTATTCACTGCATATGGAATATATACTATATTCCAGTCTTTTTTTTTTTGTCTTCACCGGGGATAAAATGATAAACCAACGGAATATGCTCCCCTGCCTCATCCAGGTTGTTTTTAAATGATGGAGACAAACCCACCCTTTCAGTTACTTACAGCCGTGCAATTCAAATGCCCCAAAGCAAAGGACTGATGTTCATTCTTCCACAGGCCCCCTACTTCCTTGCTGTTCCCTGACATCATCATCACATCCGACTCTGCCTCCTCTGCGTCTCTCCCCATGTGGCTGATCATAGCAGGAGAAAACATACACCCTAAATGACTGGTGTCACTTCAAATTCCTGGCCCTGCTCCTCTTGCATTTCTCTATTGGTCTATCCATCTCTCTCCTCTGGAGCCCCTCAGAAGTCCAACTCATCCTCTTCCATCTTTTTTCTCAAAGACCTTGTTTCTTCTTCATTGAGCCCCTGGAGCAAAGGGAAGAGATCTTCTCCCTTCCATGCTCACCCCCCTGCCTCAGAATGTGGGCTCTCTACTCAGTATTGACCAGGAATGGTCTGTCCCTGCTCCTGGCCATTGCTGACCCTGCAGTTGGGCCCCGGTTGCCAGCCCCGCTCACAGTGTCAGGACAGCATGGCATCCTTCCTCCACTGCATTGCATATTTTTACTTTTTGAGATTTATTTTTATCATCATACACACATGGTAGTATTGTCTGTCTTACACATAAACATTGGTATTTTCTATCACACGCAGATACACACACCCCAAAACCTTTCTATACACTCTACCATCTTTAAAAGAAAACCTTCTCAATTAACTACATTTCTCCCCAAATACCCTTTTTTATGCTTCATTTCAGAGCACAATACACTAAAAATTTGCGTATACTGTCTTCAATTCTTGCCTCCAATTCTCATTTGAACCCCATCCAATTAAGCTTTCACATGCACCATTCCTCTTGACACTTTCTTTCCTAGAGTCACCAATGACCCCCTCATTTCTCAATCCAATAATTTATTTCCTCTTCTCATCTGACTTGTCGTACTAGCAGCCTGTTGCCCAGTTGATCGCTCCCTCTTCCTTGAAAGGCTGATTTTCTTGACTTTGAGGACATCCCATTAACCTTTAAAAATCTATTTGCTTCAATTTTCTTCTCGCCTCCCTGTTCTCTTCTCAGTTTCCTCTGATGGATTTTCCTGAAATCCCTGGTCTCTGAATGTGGGAGTGAAGGCTTAGTCCTTGAACAACTTCTCTTTGTCTACACCCACTGCCTTTCCTCATCATCTCATCGCGTGACTTTCAACACCAGCTACATGTCTCCCCTTTTCTCCTGTCAAGACGAGATCTCTCCTGTGAAGTCTAGTGTCCTGTTTCTAGACATTTCTGCTGGGACATCTAACAGGCCTCTCCACCTTAATATGTCTAGAACTGGCTTCTTGACCTCCCACAATCATGTTCCCCCTGCAGTCTTCCACATCTTGGTTAAGGGTGACCCTGTACTTCCTGGGGCTTAGATGACCATTTTAGCATATATATAAAATATGTAAGATATTACATTATTTGTATGTGTTTTAATAATTAGATAAAGAAAAAGTTAGATGTTTACTTAAAATGAGTGAAGTAATACATGGTTTCTAAAATTCTTTTGAGATACAGAAGAAAAATGTTTGAAGACCAAGCCCCTTCCTCATCAGCTTCCCCCAGTGCCCCTCTGGCCTCCTCTCCTGCTTGTCTCCTCCTCCTCACCCTGCTCCTGCCATACAGGTCTCCTTCCTTTTCCTGGGGCCAAGGTTGCTACTGCCTCAGCGTGCTGACAGAGTCTGTCCCTCTACCTAGAACTGTCTGGCTCCTCAGATGCAGGTGGCAAACATCCTCTCTCCTCCAAGTCCTTGTTCTGATATCACCTCATTGGAGCCTTCTCTGACCCCCCTCCCATTTAACATGTCAGGCACACCCTTACCCCCACTTCTGGTCCATATTGCCTGCTTTGCATGTTTGTTTCTTTTCCTTCTCTTTCCACTGTGTGGCTACTGGAGACAAAGCTTCAAAGGGAAAACAGTGACAGAAGGTAGGAGATGTCACACCTATTAGGATAGCTATTAGCAAAATGACCAAGAAATAACAAGAGTTGATGAAGATGTGTAGAAACGGGAACCCTTGTGTACTATTGCTGGGAATGTAAATTGGTACAGCCATTATGGAAAACAGTAAAGAGGTTCCTCAAAAAGTTAAAAATAGAACTATCTTATGATCCAGCAATCCCGCTTCTGGCTATATATCCAAAGGAGATGAAATTAGTATCTTGAAGAGATGTCTGCACTCCCATGTCTCTATTGCATTATTCACTACAACCAAGATATGGAAAAACCTAAATGTCCTTTGACAGATGAAAGCATAAGGAAAATGTGGTACATATATACAGTGAAATATTATTCAGCCATGAAAAAGAAGGAAGTCTTGCCCTTTGTGATGCCATGGATGAACTTGAAGGACTTTAGGCTAAATGAAATAAGCCAGATAGGGAAACACAAATACTGTATGATCTCACTTATATGTGGAATCTAAAAATGTCAAACTTATAGAAACAGAGTAGAGTGGTTGGGAATAGGGACTGGGAAGTAGGGAAAAATAGGGAGATGTAGGCCAAAGGGTACAAATTTTCAGTTGTAAAATGATGAAGTTTTGGGGATCTGATGTACAGCACCGTGACTATAGTTAATAATACTGTATTAGATACTCAAAATTTGCTGAGGATAAATCTGTCACCACACAGATACAAAAAATGGTAATTGTGAGGTGATGAATATATTAACTTCATGGTAATTGCTATTTCACATTGTATATGTATTTCAAATGATTACATTGTACACCTGAAATATACACAGTTGTCATTTGTCACTTACCTCAATAAAGCTGGAAAAGAAAAAGAAAGTGGGACATGTGCTGGGCTTGCCTCCTCTGAGTGGTGCTCATCCTGGCCTCACATTAGACTGCTGAGGCATTTTGCAAATACATCTCTTATGCCTTCTGACCAGAGATTCTCCTGCAAATAGTTGGAGTGAGGCCCAGCCTCACTCATATTTAAAGTGCCCCATGTCATTCTAACCTGTATCCAGTGTCAAGCACCAAGGCTCTGAGTCCTCCTTTCCTGAGGGCTGAGATCTGGGCTGAGGGTGAGGGGGCTCTGCTCTGCATGGAGTTTGATCAGGGCCAGGTCTGTGACCTGAAGGGAGGTGTCTGGTCCAGCTGAGGTTCCCACTGCTGCAGCTTATGTGTGGGATTCACCAGGAGGGGAGTGAGTTCTGAAGAAAGTGGTAGAAAAACTCACTTGTTGGTCTCTGTGTAGGAGTTTACTGTCCCTGAATCCCTCCTGTGGCAGTGGCAGCAGATGACCTGTTTTTCCACATGATGACGTCTTCCCTGTTTGTGTGGTTGTGGCACAGGAAGAGGGTATGTTGATTCTAACCATTCAACAGCATATTTTCAACTTTCAAGAGCTCTAAAGACTCATGTTGCCTGAGGAAGAAGCCCGTAAAAGGAGGAAGAGGAAAGAAAAAGGAGTCAGAAATGGATCCTTCTCAGGTAAAATCATGTTCTTGCTTGATTATTCCGTCCTTCCTGAAATGTCCTTTGGATTTGCTAATCTCTGACTCTGAAGTGTCCTGCCTGACGTGTTCCTTCACAGTCACCCAGGGCCTTCCGTCACTCCTCTCATCTCCACTCAGATTTCATCTCACCTTGACCCAGTGACATGGAACTTAGGAAGAGGCTCCAGTGGGCATCATCCGGGGCAGGGCTTCACATCCATGGATTGGAGATGGGTGTGGGCCCTGTAGTGTCAGTGCAGTTGGGCAGCAGGGCTTGTTTAAGGGTCACATTTGGATGCACTGACAGCTCTCTGTAGACCAGGATGAAAGAAGTTGCACATGGAAGTCATGTATTAATGTGCACAAATATCTGGTAAATTCTGGAAAGGGAGATCAATAAGGGGAAACCTGTTCTGCCTGTTTTTAGAATACATTTGAAGCTAAATGAATGAGTCACTGACTTCAAAATCTTAATGATTAGGAATGCAAAGTTCTGAAACAGACATGCATGATAGAAGGTCTTTTATTCCATCATCGATTTTAAAATACAAAATCAACCTAAATGTCTAACATTTGGAGACTCTTTAAATTATTTTCATCACATCTGTTCCTGGGGGGGTGGGGTGTTTTTTCACTCTGTTGATTGTATCCTTTGACACGCAGAAGTTTTTACATTGGATGCAGGTCAGGTTCCAGATTCATTCCTTTGTGTGTAGATACCCAGTTTTCTCAGCACCATTTGCTGACTGTCCTTTCCCCATTGTGTCGTCTTGGCAGCCTTGTCAAAAATCATTTGGCATATGTGCAGGGGTTTATATCTTAGCGTTCTATTCTGTTCTGTTGGTTTATATATGTGTTTATGCCAGTACCACACCATCTTGATCACTCTTGCTTTGTAATATGTTTTGAAATCTAAAAAAGGGAGGCCTCCAACTTTCTTCTTCATCGGGTGTTTTGGCTATTTGGGGTCCCTTTCAGATTCCATATAAATTTAGCATTTTTTTTCTATTTCTGCAAAAATTGCCTTTGAGATTTTATTAGGGATTCCATTGAATCTGTAGAACACTTTGATAGTATGGACATTTTAACAATGTTAAGTCTTCCAGTCCATGAGGATGGGATGTTGTATTAGTTATTTGTGTCTTTTTAAATTTCTTTTAGCAGCATTTTGTGGTTTTCAGTGTACAAGTCTTTCACCCCCTTGGCTAAGTTCATTCTTAAGTATTTCATTCCTTTTGATGCTATGTTAAACAGGATTATTTTCTTAATTTCCTTTTCAGACTGTTCATTGTTAGTGCATAGAAATGCAACTGATTTTTGTGTCCTAATTTTGTATCCTGCCACTTTTCTAAAATTGTGTTTTCGTTGTAACAGTTGTTTTGTGTTTCTATATATAAGATCTTGTCATCTTAAGAAAAGATCATTTTACTTCTCCAATTTGGATGACTTTTATTTCTATTTCTTGTCTAATTGCTTGGGCTAGGATTTCCAATACTTTACTGAATGGTAGTTCTGAGAGTGTGCATACTTGCCTTCTTTCTTTCCTTCTTAGAGGAAAAGTTTTCAGTCTTTCACCACTAAGTATGATGTTAGCTGTGTTGGTTTCATATGTGGCTTTTATGTTGAGGTGGTTTACTGTTCCTAGTTTTTTGGGTGTTTGTATTTTGAAAGGTGGTTGAATTTTGTCAAATGCCTTTTCTGCATCAATTTAGATGATCATTTTTTTCTTTCATTCTATTAATGTGGTGTATTACATTGATTGATTTTTGTATATTGAATCAGCCTTGCCTCACAGGAATATATTCCACTTAGTCATGATGTATAATAATTTTAATATGCTGTTGAATTTCATTTGCTAGTATTTTGTTAAGGATTTTTTCATCAGTATTTTTCAGGGATATTCGTCTTTCCTTCTTGTCTCTTTCTCTGAGTTTGGTATCAGAATCATGCAAGCTCCATAGAAAGAGTTTGCAAGTTTTGGAAGATTTTTAGCAGGATTAGTATTAATCCTGTAAATGTTTGGTAGAATTGTGCAGTGAAGTCATCTGGTCCTGGATTTTTCTTTGTTGGAGATTTCTGATTACTGCTAGACTCTCCTCTCTAGTTATAATTCTGTTCACATATTTTATTTCTTCATGATTAGGTCTTAGTATGTTGTGTGTTTCTAGGAATTTACCTGTATCTTCTATGTTATGTAATTTGTTGGCATAGTAAGCTCTTAAAATCGTTTTTAAAAATTTCTGTAACATCATAGTACTCTACTATAGTTTATAAAATTTCTGTAACATCAGTTGCAGTATCCCCTCTTTCATATCTGATTTTACTTATTTGAGTTTTCACTCTTTTTATTAGTTAATCTAGCTAAGGGGTTGTCAGTTTGTTACTCTTTTCAAAAAACTAAATCTTGGTTTGTTCATTTTATATTGTTTTTCTGTTTTCTATTTCACTTCTTTGTGCTCTAATCTTTCTTATTTATTTATTTATTTCTGCAAAACTTGGGTTTAGTTCTTCCCTTCCTACTTCCTTGAGGTGTGAAATGATGTTTCTGATTTGAGATCTTTCCTTTCTTTTAATGTAAGCATTTACCAATATAGACTTCCCTCTTAGTGCTGCTATCACTGCATATGAGTTTTGCTATGTTTTATTTTCATTTTCATTTTTATCCAGATACTTTTTGAATTCCCTTGTGATTTCTTCTTTGACCCATTGGATGTTTAAGAATGAGTTGCTGAATATCCACATTTTGTGGATTTTTCTCTTTTCCTTCTGCTATTTGTTTCTAGTTTTATTTCATTATGTTTAGAGAATATATTTTTTATGATACCAATCTTCTTAAATTTGTTAAGATTTGTTTTGTGACCTGACATGTGGTGTATCATGGAGACTGTTCCATGTGTGATTGAGAAGAATGTGTTTTCTGCTGTTGCTGGGTGAGTGTTCTGTATATGTCTGTTAAATCAGTTGGTCTATAGTGTTGTTCAAGTCCTTTGTTTCTTATTGATCTTCTGTTTGGTTCTTTTATCCATAACAAAAACTGGGGTATTGAAATTGTGTACTATTACTATGCTGCTGTCAACTTCTCCCTCATTTCTGTCAATGTTTGCTTCGTATGTTTGGGAGCTCTAGTGTTTGATGCGTATAGATTTATAATTATTATATCTTCCAGGTGAGTTGAACATTTTATCACTATATAATGTTCTTTGTCTCTTGTGATGGTTTATGTCGTATAATCTGTTTAGTCTGATATAATATAGCCACTCCTGCTCTCTTTAGGATCTCTTTTGCATGGACTATCTTTCCTCCTTCTTTCACTTTAGCCTTTTCTTGCCCTTAGATTTTTGAATTTTAACAGTTCCAGCTCTTTGACACTTTCTCACTCCTGTTCTGTATTTTTCTTCCTTTTCCCTCTTCTACTGGTTGGGCTCAGGCATCCTGTACAGAAGTGAATAGCAGAGTCCCTGGGCAGCCCCCTTTTCTTCACTGTAATTTCAGTTGAAATGCACCCAATGTTTTATACTAATCATGACATTTCGTGAAATGTTCTTGTTTAATAACAGTTTTTTTCTCCATTTTCCTTTTTTCATGATTTTTAATTATCCAAGAACTTTTTCAGGTATCTACTACTGTGATAATTTTTTTATCTTATTCTGTTAAATTAATATATAACACTAATAACTTTTCTAATCTTGAATCATTGTTTTATTATGGAGTAAACTCTTTAGCTTTTGTTAATGCCTAAATATCTGCATTTAAATGGATAAAATTGTATTTATATTTTTGAATATAGGTAGTTTGTAGAGATTGAAAGAAAGTATTCTATTTTTTTCACGTTTGTACAATTTTTTTACTAGCCTGCTGTAATGGTGACAAACTAAATTAAGTACAATTGATACATTTTATTGTCCCAACCATGCTGAAATACACATGAATAAAAATGATAATATGTCATCCAGAGACAGCTCTTCTCATTTCAGTTAATTTTCTTGTTTACGTATGTGCAAGTCTGTAGTTATTAGAAAAGACATCATCATTTCATAAGTGAGTTTTATATTTTTTAGCAGTTGAAATTGTATTTTAAATATATTCTATAATGTTAAATTTTTTCTACACTATCACATTAATGATTTAAATAGTAATAATCGTAGTGTATTATGTGCATGAATGTGTGTGTCTGTATGGATATAATAACCTTTTATGCAGCTTTTTGTTTCTAACCTTGAACTTACTTCACATTTCTCAGGGAGGGAGCCCTCTATGAATGTGCTTTTAATGTTCAGCTGTTACTTAACTGTTTGATTCTTTAGGTTCAATTCTAAAACGTGACCTCCTGAGGCCAGGTGTTCGTTGTGTTATTTCTTAGCTGTTTGACCTGAGGCAAGTTTCTTAGAATGTCTGTGACAGAGTTTTCTCCTCTGTAAGATGGAAACAAGTTTTTCTCTAATGAGCTATTACATTGATAACCGGTTAATACATGTAAAGCATTTAGAGTAATGCTTAGTATATAGAAAGTGTCATTTCTCTTGTTATTATCATCACAATTTTTAGATTCTCACCTTTCTTTAGAGCCACTATGGACTTTGTCGTCTCTGAAGACACCACTCATGCTCTAAATGATCTAGATATTGAATGTCATTCAATGTGTAGATGATAATATCTAACACTTCTGTATAGACAACCCAGTATTGAATTTTTATTTGTGTATTTCATGTATTGTCAACAAAAATGAGAAATTCACACTGACTTGGAGTATATCATAATATCTTACAGAAAAGCATGAGAAATTAAAATTAGAGACACATAACTTGCTTAAAATAGCTTTATGTGGATCTGTCAAAACACATTTAACTGAATTCATCTTCACACCTCTCTCCTCTTCTCATTTTGTGTGAAGATAAGAACTCTCTTCATGACCACTTTGGTGAAATGTGTTTTTCATTTCAGAGACGGTTGACATTCAGGGACGTGGCCATCGAATTCTCTCAGGAGGAGTGGGAATGCCTGGACCCCGCTCAGAGGGCCTTGTACAGGGATGTGATGCTGGAGAACTACAGGAACCTGCTCTTCCTGGGTGAGGAGAACTTCCCTCCAGAAGTTGGGATCTATCCCTGGATATCTTTTCCTTGTCTTTTGTATGCCTCTTGGGAGCCCCTGCCTTAGTTGACTGCAATCAAAGCCCTGTTTACTTAGAAATGAAAAGCTTCACGCTACAGCATCTGGACTTTAAACTTGCCCTTTCTTCAGGTGATCTGCCACTTTATGAAACATCGGGGGTGGTTCCAGAGCTTAAGTAGGCATAAAACCTATGACAAACTTAAAATATACAATTCCCTCATTTTTACCCTTATGCTATTGATTCAGTAATTCTTGGAAGAGAGCTAGATATCTGCATATTATACTCTTCCCTATATTCATATGGATTCAAGAGTGGATAAGATTGTGAAATATTTTCTAAACCCATCTGTAATGTCCTCTTCAGCAGAACAGAGAGCTGGGCTTCTGGAAGCCACAGCATATCGTGTGCCTTTCTTCTTATGAGCAGGAATTTCTGTTTATGGTCTGATTATTATCTCCATTTTGGAGCAAGGGAAAGAGCCCTGGACTGTGGAGAGTGAAGTGAAAATAGCAAAAAACCAAATGAGTGGGAATGTACCAAAGGTGTGAATACAGCTAAGAAGAGCTCAGAAAGGGGGAGAGGAAGCTGCACCATTAATAGTGTTTGGGAAACTCTCCTCAAGTGGGAGAGTTCTATGGGAAAACAGAAGTTTAGTTTTTGTGAACTCCCAAAGAAACTTTTTCTTCTCCCCAGCTTATCACTCTGTCCTTCAGTGTGTACAATTTATCGTTTCAACCCCTAGTGGTGTAGCAGATCCAATAGAGACAAAGGCAAATTCTTCATCATGATCTGTAACACTGATCTGGCTCCTGTGAACTCCTTGGTTCCTTGACTTTGAGAAGCATGGAGTGGGCTGTTTTAAAGGGGTCTCTCTTCCCTTTGGTCTCCTCCTTCTGCACTTGATTCTATCAGATGCTCAGTTCTTGGTCCATATAGATCAGAGCTGAGGCCTCTGTAAGCCTAATCCCTGGACCTATCCCAGTTCCATCCCCATTTGCTATGCTGGGAAGACCTAATTAGAGGATGGGATAACCCTGGCTGCTCTACCATTCCATCTGATGCCCCAGAAACTACATGGAGCTTCTCAAGCCCTGTCTGCCTATTCACATCCCTCAGCGATTTCTTCTGTTGTGCTTTTGCCACACACTTCAGGGGTGTATGTAATAGGGAGGTAAATTGGATCTCCTGTAATTGTTACTTAGGAAAACTATAAAGACAGTAAACAGAGATCCTCTGTTTGATCCCCAGTCCTACACAGGTAGCATTTATCAATCTCTCAGGCTCTTAGCTTGTCATCTGTGGGTAGAGCACATGTTCCCATCTTAAGATGCTACAATATCTGACCCCATAACTTGTATTTTCTTTCTCTTCCACCTCTCTACCTAGTCTGGGAGTATAGACTCTTCCTGATTTTATGTTCTCTTAAGTTTGTATGAAATACACGTTTCTAGGGTCTGAAATGTCTTGCTATTTTTTTTCTTTAAAGATTTTATTTTTTACCTTTTTCTCCCCAAAGCCCCCCGGTACATAGTTGTATATTCTTCGTTGTGGGTCCTTCTAGTTGTGGCATGTGGGACGCTGCCTCAGTGTGGTTTGATGAGCAGTGCCATGTCCGCCCAGGATTCGAACCAATGAAACACTGGGCCGCCTGCACTGAGCGTGTGAACTTAACCACTTGGCCATGGGGCCAGCCCTGTCTTGCTATTTTTTGTTGTGTTAATCCAACTTTAGGTGCTGGGCAACTTCTGGTGGACTCTCATGGAATGGGTTTACTTGGTAACAGAAAATTCTTGAAGGAGAACACTGACTAATATGTTGCAATATTATCCTGCTGCATACAGAAGCACCACTTGAAGCCGCTCAGAGTGGTCAGCATGTCCCTGGATACCAAGATAGAATGTGTCATGAGGGCCTAAGTGATAAGTGTTTCCACTTGTCTTTCTGCTTTTGAGGAGTGTCACAAAAGCATTTCTCAAGGGCATTGTGACACTGTTGATCACATACACTAATGATCATCCCCTTTGAGCTACAATAAATGGTATAGGAATTTCTCCTGGGAAAACATTGGTCAAGTTCACATCCTCGTATCTCTGAGGCTGTCGACTAAACTATTATTCATGCCACATTTTCCATCCCGTGAGTGCCATTGTTCATCCTACTTCAACAAGTACAACTTGGAAGCATCTTATTGACGGAGCTTATGAAGTTGCACGATGCCTTCAGTAAAGTCTACTGTAATTTATTTTGTTTAAGCCACTGCTACTTTCATTTTGTGTATTTCTATGCATTATAAAGGAACTTGATTTTTATGTATTTATCAGTTCCATATTTTTGATGATGTCTTAGTATTCTTTGTTTTACATTTGCAGCATGTGGAAGGTTTGAATTGGGGAATAGATATCATTTCATATGTTTTACGTTATTTCCTCCTCTAGTGTTGAGGGTATGGCTCAGCAGCAGTTTCCCTAAATCCTATACAAAGTCCGGACTGTTTTGAAAAGATAGCTGTAATCATTCCTTCTACTTCTTTTCACTTCACTTAGTACCTAATATTAAGTTACCTTTTTCTCAGTTAAATTTATTAATTTAAATTTAAATTTAAGAAACAGTTTTTAAATTGAGAATTTTTGGTATGTTGAGAATATATATATTTTTATTATTGTCGTCTCTTCCCCAAAATACCATTAAATTGACTTGCCATGTGTTATATAAGATTCATTGCTTCTTCTATAGTATGTTTTCAGTTTTCTGTACATAATTTGTTGAGTTTTGTGTAAATTTCACTGAGATTTATTTCTGGTATAACCGTTATATTCTAATAATTACTTTCCCTGTCTAGATTATCGTGTCTATGTTGGTACACTGAATGAATACTTAAATATCTCATCGCATTTTACAGGAAACTTAGGCCATTTCTTGCACTTTATGGGGTTTGTCTCCACTGTTGTCTCTGACAGCTGTATTTTCTGCAGAATTTCTAAAGTTCTGGAAATTGCATTCTTGAGTGAACACAGGACAACAGTCTTGTTCCCTGGCTTTCTTTCTATCTGAACTTCATATAGAGTGCACCTGGTCCCTGTTGTCCCAGTTACGTGTGTTGTCCTGTTCTCTAGCTCTTGTTTGCTGTCTGGGTTGCTCACCACCTCTCTGCGTATCCCTCCTCCATGGGTCTCCATGCCACTGCCAGAAAATGTTTCTGCACATACCTGCTGCTACTTACAGTGCCCTCTAATACAAGTCCTTCCCTACCGTGTGTCGCCTATTATTTTCAAAAGGTTACCTATGTTCTTCTCATATTTATGAAGTCTTAATTTATTAATTTTGGATAAGTGAGCATTGTTTCATTGATTCACAATAACAACTATATATCTACTAATACATACAGTAGGAGCACCCGTCACCTCATGTCTTTTTTTATTTTTAATTTCCTATAAAATTTATTGCAGGTTATGTTATGAAAACAAAAGTGGATCATTTTTAATATGTCACATTTGTTTATGAATTTAAAAATCTATGACCCCTCATCACACAAAAAGATAATTCTAAATCTACTTTGAAAATTGATTCAATCAAGAAGTATCTATTTGGAGTGTACGTACTTACTATCGCATTGTACCAAAGATAAGGCTGCTGTCCTCACAGATCATATGGATCAACCATAGCATAGTGAATGTTCTAATATTTTGAGAAATATTGGAAACTAACAGATTTCTCTAGACATTGTTTATCTTGTTCTTCCAGGAGACTTGTAGTTCCAGATGAGATTAGTTTGGAAAAAGGGCTTGTTTAGTCCAGAAAATCTTTAGAGTCTGATGTAGTTCTGGGCTAATTAGAGACTAAGTAATCTTTATCAGGAGAAGTAGGCTTGGAAATCAAGCAGTCTTATTTTGAATTAGCATGTTTTACTCAAAGGTATGGAATTGTATTCTGTCAAATAACTTTCATAACATTTACCATCATTTGAGCTTAGCAAATTAATTTCTACCATATTTTTTTATTGTTTGAAGATAGATTCCATTGATTACCATGAGTATTTAAACTCACTTGATTTCTCCCTATTTTTCCCTCTCCCCAGCTTCTGGCATGCTCCATTCTACTTTCCATTTCTAGGAATTTTACTATTTTAGATGCCTCACATAAGTAGTATCATACAGCATTTGTCTTTTTTGTGACTGGCTAATTTCATTTAGTATAATGTCTTCAAAGTTCATCCATGTTGTAGCAAATGACAGGATTTGTGTCTTTTTTTAAGGCTGAATAAATTCCATTGTGCATGTATATTACATTTTGTTTGTGCATTCATCCATCAGTGGACATTCAGTTGCTTCTGCCTCTTGGCTGGTATGAATGATGCTTCTGTGGACATGGGTATGGAAATATATCTTTGAGATCCTGCCTTCAGTTTTTTTGTATGTATGCCCAGAAGCGGAATTGCTGGATTATATGATGTCTTAGTTCAGCTTCTATACCAAAGTTCCATAGACTGAGTGAGTTATTAGCAACAGAAATTAATGTTGTAAAATGCGTATTCTTCATGGGTAGCTTTATAAAAAATATTTAGAAAAGTATTTTATTTTTAAACATTGTTTTGTTGAATTCTTAATTTTTCAATGCTGTATTTGTTGGCAGTTCAAAATTGACATTTATTTAGATCATTCATTAGATCATTTATCTAGATCATTCATTTGGATTATTTATCATTGCAATAAATTGTTTATTCTTTAGCTTTTTTTTATGTACAATAAGTAAGCACACTATAATATTTCTTTCTCCTACCTTATGAGATAGCAATATGTTTACTGCCCATCGATATGTGCCTTGGGGTCATGGTGGAAAAATACTCTCTGTTTTTGAGAGCTAACATAAGGTTGCACAAGATAAGTGTTTCTGTCATAGGATGTTTGAAACTAGGCTTCCATAAAATTAATTTGAATTGTGTATGATCACTCTTTCTTTAGTAAAGAATCAATTCCTTTGGTGTTCCTAAAAATTTGAGGATGATGATTGGGAAGTTTCATAACTCTGTTCAATATAAGTATTACTTTTGGTATGTTTTCCACATGAAACATAGATTTATGGACAGTAATTAATACAACATCTCTGTTTCTTTATATCTTGTAGGTGTCTCTCCTATACATGCGACCAAGAAATTACAATCAAAGGAGAACAGTAATACAGGAGAAGTATTCCATACATTGATGTTGGGAAGACATGAAAGCCATAAAATCAAAGATCTTTACTTCAGGAAAATCCAGGAAAACATGCATGCCTTTGAGTGTCAATGGAGAAATGATGAAAGAAATTACAAAGGAGTGCCTGTAACCCATAAAAAAAATCTCACTAACAGAAGAGATCAACATGGTAGAACAGATGCGGGAAACAAGCTTTTTGAGAATAGGCTTGGATTAAGCCTTCAGGATGAACTGCAGGTATTTCAAACAGCAGGAAAAATTCATGAATGTAATCAAGTTCAGAAGTCTGTCAACAATAGCCGCTCAGTTTCACCACTTCAAATAACTCCTCCTAGTGTCCAAACCGACATTTCTGATAACTGTGGGGATGATTTTATGCATCCTTCAATACTGACACAAAACCAGAAAGCTTATAGGGAAAAACTTTACAAATGTAATGAGTGTGGCAAAACCTTTAATCAGGGCTCACACCTTACTAGACATCAGATAATCCATACAGGAGAGAAACCGTATAAATGTGATGTATGTGGCAAGGTCTTTAGTCAAAATTCAAACCTTGCAAGTCATCAGAGAATTCATACAGGAGAGAAACCTTACAGATGTAATGAGTGTGGCAAGGTCTTTAGTCAAAATTCACACCTTGCAAATCATCGGAGAATACATACTGGAGAGAAACCTTACAAGTGTAATGTGTGTGGCAAAGCCTTTAGAGTGCGTTCAAGCCTAATGAACCATCAAGCAATTCATACTGGAGAGAAACCTTACCAATGTGATGAATGCAACAAGAGTTTTTTCCAAAGTTCCAAACTTATAAAACATTACAGAATTCATAGTGGAGAGAAACCACACAAATGTAATGAATGTGGTAAAGCTTTTATCCAAAGTTCAAGCCTGGCTGACCATCAGAAGAGTCATACTGGAGAGAAACCGTACAAATGTAATGAATGTGGCAAAGCTTTTGTTTTGCGTTCAAGCCTAACTAACCATCAGATAATCCACACTGGAGAGAAATCTAACCAATGCAATGAATGTGGTAAGGCTTTTATCAAGCGTTCACACCTTAGGCATCATGAGAGAATTCATACTGGAGAGAAGCCATATAAATGTACTGAATGTGGCAAGGCCTTTAGGCAATGGTGTGACATTAGGATTCACCAAAGAATTCATGCTGGAGAGAAACCTTTCAAGTGTAGTGAGTGTGGCAAAGCCTTTACTCAGCGCTCCCACCTCACTAAACATCAGATAATCCATACTGGAGAGAAACCATATAAATGTGATATATGTGGGAAGGTCTTCAGTCAAAATTCACACCTTGCAAGTCATCGGAGAATTCATACTGGGGAGAAACCATACAAATGTAATGAGTGTGGGAAAACCTTTAGTGTGCGTTCAAGCCTAACTTACCATCAGATAATCCACACTGGAGAGAAACCTTATAAATGCAATGAATGTGGCAAGGCTTTTATCAAGCGTTCACACCTTAGGCATCATGAGAGAATTCATACTGGAGAGAAGCCATATAAATGTACTGAATGTGGCAAGACCTTTAGGCAATGGTCTGACATCACTATTCACCAAAGAATTCATGTGGGAGAGAAACCTTTTAAATGTAATGAGTGTGGCAAAGCTTTTACTCAGGGCTCACACCTCACTACACATCAGATAATCCATACTGGAGAGAAACCATATAAATGTGATGTATGTGGCAAGGTCTTCAGTCAAAATTCACACCTTGCAAGTCATCATAGAATTCATACTGGAGAGAAACCTTACAAATGTAATGAATGTGGCAGAGTCTTCAGTCAAAATTCACACCTTGTAAATCACCGGAGAATTCATACTGGAGAGAAACCTTACAAATGTAATGAATGTGGTAAATCCTTCAGTGTGTATTCAAGCCTAAGTAAACATGAGGTAATCCATACTGGTGAGAGACCTTACAAATGTAATGAATGTGGCAAGGCTTTTAGCAGGTGTTCACACCTTAGGCTTCATGAGAAAATTCATACTGGAGAGAAGCCATATAAATGTATTGAATGTGGCAAGGCCTTTAGACAATGGTCTGACCTTAGGATTCACCAAAGAATTCATTCTGGAGAGAAACCTTACAAATGCCATGAGTGTGGCAAAGCCTTTACTCGGAGCTCTCACCTCACCAATCATCAGATAATCCACACTGGAGAGAACCTTACAAATGTACTGAATGTGGCAAGGCTTTTAGGTATTGCATTAAACTCAGGGTTCACCAAATAGGTCATTCATACTTACAAACGCAATGAATTTGACAAAGTTTTTAATGAGTGCTCACTCTTTAATAGATATAAGGATATATATCCTGTAGAGAAACCATACAAATGTAAGGTATGTGGTAAGGATTTTACCCAAAGAATCAAAAGTTGGGGTACATCTTGGAGCAATACCTTACAAATGCAATGAGTGTGGAAAAATCTTTACCTTGAGTTCAAGTATTATGCAACGAGTCCATACTGAAGAGAAACCATGTAAATGTATATGGCTGAGCCTCTGTCCAGGCCTCCCAATGGACAGTAGGCATCAGAATATACATCTTTAACAGAAACCACTCAATTGTGATGTGTGTGCTAAAGCTTTTACCCAAAGATCAAAACTAGAACATCATCAGGGCTTTATACTGGAGAGCAACCTTACAAATGTAGTGAGTGTTGTAAGGCTTTTCATCAAATGTCCACACCTTTTAAGTAATGAGAGAATTCATGCAGGACGGAAACTATTCAAGTATACTGAACATGGAAATACCTTTAAGAAACAATATCTCCTCAGCATTCACCAAAGAATTCATATTGGGGAGAATCCTTAGAAATGTAATAAATTGGTAGAATTTTTGACCAATTCTCACAATGGACCATACATCCAAGAATGAATACTGGGAATAATAAGTCTCTAGTTCTCTGAGATTAACCTGAGATATTACATACTGCAGAATAATTACAAGTCAAAATACATTAAAACATAAGACATGATGTATATCATGGAGACAAGGACGTGTGGAAATGGCCCATTATCTTCAGTGTATAGAGTATTTTAGTTAATTACTTGAGTTTTCTTGAAGAGGTTACATTTCTGTTTATGACCTTCAAGGTGAAATTTGAAGTCCCTTGATCTTATCCCTTCTTTAGAGGCCTTTCATGATGGTCTTGAGGAATCAATATGATGAAAGGGCCTGCTTCATTAGGTGTGCTTCCTTCATAGCCATGTCCCATGGAAAAACAAGGACACTGAATTGTCAAATTCAATATTGTATGAATTAACATCAGGGAGGTGCAGAGAATAATGTAAAACTACAATATGTCATCATGCTTATTATGTTCAGGGCACACTTCTCTAGTCAGGCCACTGTGGGTTATAGGAATGAATGCTCTGCCAACTGACCATGAAACAGAGAAGGCCAGGACATTAAGGGACTGGACTTTTCATGGGAGGAGAGTGGTGGGTTACTAGGGACTGATTCTGCAGTAGAAATAATGCAGGGGAAATTGTAGTCACTTTCTCCATTGAATGGCAATAGCTATTGTATATCAATGATTAATAAAATTTAGTCTTGGAAATTAAAGAGAGAACAGTTATCTGAGAGGGAAGTTGAATCAAAAGAACCAGAATAGTATGTGCCTGTGTATGAGTCACGTTTAACTATTGGCAGTATCATAGGTCTCGTGTTTTAATTAATAAAATTTAATCTTTTTTTTTTTTTTTCCATAATCCTGAATGAATTGTTCCTTCTACCAACACAGTTTTATTCCACCTCAGTAGAATACTTTGTAACGTAAACTAACCTTGTACCATTAGGTTCTCAAGGGTGAAGGGATCTATAACAATTTTTTTCCATGATGGAATCAAACAACATGCAATTTTGACATTATATACTCTAATTTGCACTTGAGTTATTCTCTCTACACTCTGTCGGGGATATTTACGTGGCTATAAGGAAAATACCATAGCAGTGCAATTTCAGACTCTGATCCCCTAAAACCTGCCCCCCATTGATGAACATACACCATATGGTTATATTTCTTCGTGTCCTTTTTTGTGCCCAAATAAAACCCATGACATCCACCTTTCTTCACATGAAGTGAAAATAAAATATAGTAAGCATATGACAAATAATAGGAAATGAAAGAAAATTTCAGAAATAAGGATAAAAAGAACATAATTTTTTTGTGCTTGGAGTGCTCATGAAATAATTTAAAAAGATCAATGTTCATGAGTTTCCTCATAAGAAGGAACAATATACAATAGGGACATTTTTTGTTTGATAAACTGGAAATTTCATATATTCACTCCCAAAACATTTTGTTGTTGCTAATTTGCACTTGTGGCCATCCACTGGAACAGGATGGAAACCTACCCAAAATTTGGTTTGGATATCAAGACTGATGCCATACACTAAAGTGTTATGAGAATGTCTGTTATTTAATAAAGCTTTTAAGGAGAACAGGGTAGACTTCCAAGCTTGTCAAAAAATGGCTTGACAGAACAGAAAATGGTGACTGGCTTGGTATGTTAGGTAGTTACTGGGTGGGGCTGGGGTGTGGGTACCCACTTATGGTTTGAACTTCCAACATAGCAAAGGAGGGAGCACTCAGCCTTTCTTATTAGCTTGCCCAGATAAGGAGAATAGGAAGAGGTTATAGTGAGGTTTAAAAGGTGTCAGTAGTCAAACATCAAAAAATGGAGTCAGACTCTTTAATAAAACACTGGATGTTTACTCTTGAAATTCCTAATTTCTTGGTTGGGAAACATCAATTTTTTTCATGCTGATAATTTATTATATTCCTTTTGCTGCTGCCCATATAGGTTTCATCGTAATATATGCTTGTTAAAGATGCTTTAAGATACTATTTAGATAAATTGCCTAAGATGTTTTTACACTAATGAAGCAATATTAGGAAATGTTTACTAGATAATATTACTAGAAGAGCATTTTTTCAAAGGATATTAAAATGTCAATTTCAAATGATGGTATTAACCAATATGTAACATAGTTCATTTTCAACTGTATTAAAATATCGTTTGTTTTTTAAATAAAATTTTCTTATTAGCATTTTTTCCTTCCACACATTGTGACCCAGAATATATGTTTAATTTACACATTTTCCCCATTTTACACCAAGGGATACAGAAATCAGTGAGTTGTTTTGAGACATTTTTTTTTTCCCCTGAAGATTTGCCCTGAACTAACATTCATTGCCGATCTCCCTCTTTTTTTCTTTTTTTTATGTGAGTCAGTCCCACAGCTGGCCACTAACAGACGAGTGGTGTAGATCTGTGCCCCAGAACTGAACCTGGGCTGACAAAGTGGAATGCGCCAAACTTAACCACTAGGCCACTGTGGCTGGCCCTGTATTGAGACTCTTGTGACATTAAAATGCATACAAGGCAATGCCAGGTATAAAGTAGGTGTTCTATAAATATGAAGAGTTCCTTTAAGTCTTTAGTCCAATGGAGGAACTAGAAGGACACAAGATGAACTGAAATCTCTTTAAAATCTTTTTATCACTTTACTGTTTATTTAAGTTCTGGGTGACTTTGAATTTTTCCAGTTTTGTTGAGATATAATTGACATACAGCATGAAATCTCTTAATGTGGGAGATGGCTATGGTCAGGTACTTGAAAATCAAGTGTGTGGAGGTTAACAAGCATGCAGTAAAGTAAATGAAAATATAATGATGAGTAGGATAGAAAGTCCCCAAGATTCCAACTATGTTTTGTGACAAGGAGATAACCTCCATTGCCAAATGCCTGGAGGCCATTCTGCCATTTCCCAATGACTGGTGTTCACATTCAGAGCCAGAGGATCTTACAGGGAAAATGAGGTTTGTGCTACTTTTGTCATGGGAACTGACACCCAATATCTTCCATTTAGAATCTGTTCCCACCCCAAAATAATATATTTTTGTTTAGTAGGTGATCTTAATTTTGATATGATCTTTTCTATCACACTGAGTAAGAGCCACTGTTAATGCAATATGTGTAATAACTGGTTGAACTTTCAGCTCTCTGAAATAAGTACTGATGATATCCTCATTTCACAGATGAAGCTTAGGATAAAGACAGGTTTAAAGACTCATTCAATCACATCCCAGCAAGTGGCTGAATCAGGATTTGAATCCATGTTGTCTGCTGCAAAGACAAATCTCTTAAACATGGTGCTACCCTAACAAGGCAAATTATTTCTGTCCTTCAACCATTCAACATCTGTACTTAATTTTATGAGTCTCTTGTCAGTTTTAAAGGGGTTATCTTCATATATAATTGTGGTTATGGTAACTTTCTATTATGTCTATACTTTTATTTCATAGGCCAATATTAGCAGTGAATGGATATTTAAATAAAATGTCAGTACACTGATTACCACATAATCCTACAAGAAAGATTATCCAAGATAAGGCTGGATTTATTGAGACAAGAGTGGTTCACCATTATGATGGATACAGAAGACATGTTTTAGTCAGGAGCAAGAGTAAAATGATACCAACTACTGAAATAATTGCAACAATATTGTGGCTAGCTAAGGTTTAGAAACAAAACATGAGTAAGCAATAAAACTTTTTAGTGTAGAGACTAAATTCTTGATTACAGATCATATAATTATTAATATAGGGCTACAAGAGAAACGATTAGAAATAATGTAATAATGATTGAAATAGGCTCAAAAGACATACATGTAAAACTGCATCTAAGAGCCATGAAAACGGGCACAGTAAATTGAAATAGTAGATAGATTTGCAGTGAGCCTAGGAATGAACATGAATTTAAAAGACAAATTCACCGGGATATAATTTACCTGCCATAAAATGGTTTCATTTTAAGAATATAATTCAGTATTTTTTAGTACATTTACAAAGTTGTGAAATCATTCCTACAATCTAAATTTAGAATATTTCTATCATCTCCCCCCCCAAATACTTTTTCCCCAAAAAAAAAAAAAAATCACGATATATTTGAAAGGTGGAAACTGCTGAAATACCTGCCCCACCCCCACCCCTGCCTTGGTTTGAAACCCACATTGATGACATTAACATTTCCTAAAAAGTTCATTTAAACTCAAGAGGGGAATTAGTTTCATCATAGTTAACATACCATCAGTGTTTTCTTTCTAGATACAATTACTATCCCCATTAAGCACATAATATGTGCAGCATTAGAGAAAAGACACAATATTCTACCCATTTTCACTAGGACACATAGTTTCTTACATAACTAGACTATTGTACTCCATCTTTTAAAATGTGGAACTGTTTCTGGTTTCTCTATTCTGTTCCATTGATCTATTTGTCTGTCACTCTGCAAATACCATGCAGTCTTGATCGCTGTTACTATATTAGAAATCTTGAGATCATGTGTAGTGATTCCAAACACCTTATTTTTCAGATATTTTAGCTCTTCTAGTTCCTTTGCCTTTCCATTTCAATTTTAGAATAATCTCATTTGTCTACAAAAAATCTTGATAGGAAATGCATTTAACCTATATGTCAATTTGGGGTGAATTGACATCATTTCTATGTCGTGTCTTCAAAGCAATGAATATGGTATATGAATATGTTTACTTAGGTCATCTTTGACTTCTCTCATCAGCATTTTGTAGTTTTCAGCCTTAAAGTCCCATCCATGTTTTGTTAGAATTACACATATTTCTTCTACTTTTTCTTTTTTGAGCAATCATACATGGTATTGCATTTTAAATTTCAGCTTCCATGTGTAAATTGCTAGTATACAGAAATGCCATAGATTTTTGTATGTTGTTCTTATATCTTGACACTTTGCAACTTTTACTTTTTCTAGAAATTTTAGTAGATTCCCTTGGATTTTCTACATCATTTTATTATTTTTCTTTTGCTGTGACAACAAACTACCCCAAACTGGGTGGCTTAAATAAACAAAAAATTATTCTTTTACAGTTTTGGAGAATAGAGTGTAAAATGGATCACAGCACTGTGCTCCTTCTGGATACTCCAGGTTAGTATCCATTTCCTTGCCTCTCCTGGCTTTCAGAGGCCACTTACATCCTTTGCCTTACCATCCCCTTCCTCCACATTCAAGCTGGCAAAGTAGCATCTTAAAAACTCTTTATCTCAGTCCCTCTGCTTCCATCGTATCATTAACTCCTACATGACTCTAACTCTACCTGCACCCCTCTTATTTAGAAGGACCCTTGGGATTATATCACATTTACCAGATCACCCAGGACAAGTTCCCATCTCACGATCATAACTAGATCACATTTCCAAACTTCTTTTGGCATTTAAAGTAACACTCTGTAAGTAGCAGGTCATGGATATCCTTTGAGGGTGCATTATTTAGCCTACCCCAGCCATGTCTTCTGAATAAAATTACTCTTCTTCCCTTATTTCACTGGCTATATCTTCTAATACAATGTCAAATAACAGTGGTAAGAGTGGACATCCTTGGCTTGTTCCCAATCTCAGGGGAAAATGATTCAGTCTTTCACCATTAATTATGATGTTTGCTGTAAGTTTTTGTAGGTGTCTTTATTGAGCTGAGGAAGTTTCCCTCTATTCTTAGTTTTCTGAAAGTTTATAGCATAAATGGATATTGAATTTTGTCAAATGCTTCCTCTCCATGAATTGAGAGAATCCTGTGTTTTTTTCCTTCAGCCTGTTAACATTGTGGATTAGATTGATTCATTTTTGAATACTGAAACAGCTGTCTATCCCAGGTAAAATCCATTTGGTCATGGTGTACCATGTTTCTGTGTACTGTTGATTTTTATTCCTAATATTTTGTTAAGAATGTTTGCATCTTCATGTGGGATTTAGTTGTAGTTATCTTCCTTGTTTTCTTTTTTCTTTTGTAATACCTTTGTGTAGTTTTCGTATCATGGTAATACTGGCTTCATAAATTGAGTTGCAGCGTATCCCCTCCTCTTCTATTTTCTGAAAGAAATTGCGTAGAAATGCTATTCATTCTTTATACATTTGATAGAATTGTCTAGTGTCACTGTTATGACTCTGTTAAATCAACTTTTGTTAAGAAGAGCCCCCAGATGTCAGATAGTGAGCTGGGGTTCAGTAAAAGACTGGAAGAGAACGTGAAAGACTGACATTTATTACTCACAGGTCCTGGAGGAGCTACAGGGCACACCTAAAGGGGCCATGTAGGGAAGTCAATGCAGGGTGCTTGGGGCAGGACCTGGGGCACATGTTTTTATTAGGGTCCAAGAATGGGGTGGTTTGGGGTTACTGGGCTGTCCAGATTGGTCAATTCAAACCAAAAAGAGCAAGGCTTTGGTAAGTTTTGTGTGTGTGTGTGTGTGTGGGGGGGAGCAGTCTTATCTAAAGGGCACATAAGGGGGAGGCCCTGGGAGGCAGGGGAGAATGCTTTTCACAAGGGTGGTTGAGGTAGTCATATCAGAAACTTACATACACTTGTGACTCTGTGGGCTGTTATCTAGAGCATGTGCTCAACAGAGGGACTAGTGTCAGTTCAAGGCCCCTGTAGACCACTTGGCCACACAAAATGGATGCCAAGGAAGCGATATCATGGAGTACTTTAGCTAAACTCTCAACAATCACCATCCGTCTCTGCAGAATCTTTTCTTGGTGGGGAGGGGAATTTTAAAATTACAAATTCACTTTGTAATTCAGAGTTTATTCTAATTATCTGGGTGATTTGCGGTAGGTTGTACATTTAGAGGAATGGGCCTATTTCATCTAAGTTGTCAAGTATATATGTGTAGAGTTTTGTAATAGTCCCTTATTATCCTTTCCATGTCTGCAGGTTATGTTTCATTTGATATTAGTAATTTTACCTGTTTCATTTGATATTAGTTATTTGTGTTTTCTCTTATTTTCTTTGGTGGTTTAGGGAGTGGGTTGTCAATTTTATTGATCTTTTCAATGAATCAGTTATTTCACTTATTTCCTCTATTTTTGTTTCCAATTTTAATTCTTTTTCTTCTTGCTTTTATTATTTCCTTCCTACTGCTACTGCTTGGTTTGTGTTTATTTTGTTTTTTTCAGATTTCTTAACTGCAATTTAGACTATTCTTGAATACTTTTCCCCCTTTTCTAGTGTAAACATTGAATGCTATAAATCTTCCTCTCAGTACTACTTTAGTTATACCTCACAAATTGGGACATGTTGTATTTTCATTTTCTTTCAGCCTATGTGTTTCCCTTGAGTCTTCCTCTTTAATTCATGGATTATTTAAAGGTATGTTGTTCAGTTTCCAGGTGTTTGGAGATTTCCCTGTTAACTTTCTGTTTGTGATTTGTAATTGGATTCCACTGTAGGCAGAGAACATATTGTGTATGATTTCCATTCTTCTAAATTCATTCAAGGGTGTTTTATGGCCCACAATGTGATCCATATTGGCATATGTTATTTAAATTAAAAAAAAATTTTTTTTTTTGAGGAAGATTAGCCCTGAGTTAAAATCTGCCGCCAATCTTCCTCTTTTTTGCTGAGGAAGACTGGCCTTGAGCTAACATCCATGCCCATCTTCCTCTACTTTATATGTGGGATGCCGACCACAGCATGACTTGACAAACAGTGCTTAGATCTGCACTGGCAAACCCTGGGCCACCAAAGCAGAACATGCAAACTTAACTGCTGGGCCACTGGTCTGGCCCCTTGGCATATCTTCTTGAGAAAAATGTGCAATCTGCTGGTTTTGGATGGTGTTCTAAAAATGTTGGTTAGATCCTGTGATTTGATGGTGGTGCTGAATTCATCCATGTCCTGTTGATTTTCTATGTTGTTGTTCAATTATTGAGAGAGATGTATTGAAGTCTCAGACTCTAATTGTGGATTTGTGTATTTCTCTTTTTCGTTCTCTCAGTTGTTACTTCACATATTTTGCAGCTCTGTTCTTTGGTGCACATACACTTGGGATTCCTAAGTCATCTTGGTAGATTGACCCTTTTATCATTATGTAATTTTCCTCTTTTTCCTTAGTAATTTTATTCAATTCAGAATGCATTCTGATTTCCTTTCTAATTTCTTTTTTGTCCAGTTAGTCACAAGTAGGTTATTATTTTCCAAATATTTGGAAAATATTTTTCTGTTTGACAGAAATTTTTCTGTTATTGATTCTATCTTAATTCCAGTGTGGCCATAGACATATTTTGTGTGACTTGAATTCTTTTAAAATTTATCTTGTTTGATGGCCAGAATATGGCTTATCTTGATAAAGTACTGTGTGCACTTTTAAAGATTGTGTATAATTCTTTTGTTAGGTGGAGTGTTCTTACAAATGAAAAACTCAGTTTTCCTCCTCTTTTGTAGGGAAAAATCCAGTTCCTTCCTACTCTGTGTTTCTTCCCTGTGTGTCTCCTTTACTCACACACTCGTACAACAATCACACGGAATACTTCACTTCTGACACTTCTGGTCACCAAATGTGTGGAGATTTTTCCCCACCCCAAGCAATTCTTTCCAACACCAGCTGAGTGTCCTATAATTTAACCCAATTCTGACACTATCTACCTAGAGATAGTGTCAGATCTCACAGCTTAAGGGCTCAGCCCCACAAGACTTCCCTCTGCGAACACACTTCAGATGCCAGTCACAAGTCCAGGTTATTGCCTGTGCTTCTGACCAACTGGCTATAGATTAGAGGTTCCAACAGCCTCCCCCTTTGGGGTCGATTAATTTGCTAGAGTGGCTTGCAGAACTCTGGGAAACACTTACATTGACCAGTTTATTAAAGGACATAATAAAGGATACAGATGAACAGCCAGATGAAGAAATACATAAGGTGAGGTCTGGGAGGGTCCCAAGCCCAGGAGTTTCTGTCCCCATGGAGTTGGGATGCATCACCCTCCCGGTGTGCATATTTGTTCACTAGCCTAGAAGCTTGTTGAACCCCCTACAATTGGGATTTTATGAAGGCTTCCTCACATAGGCACGATCAGTTATTAACTCTGTTTCTAGCCCCTTTCTTCTCTGGAGGATAAGGTTAAGGCTCAAAATTCCAAGCTTCTAATCACAGCTTAGCCATTCTGGTGACCAGCCCCATCAAGGAGGCACCCAGGAGCCCACCTAGAGTCGCTTCAATAGAACAAAAGATGCTCCTAGTGCTCTTAGCACTTAGGAAATTACAAGGGTTTCAGAGCTCTGTGCCAGGAGCTGGGGCAGACACACACATATATATTTTCTATTATCTCAGAGTTCTGTAAATGTCAGGTCAATTTCATTCCTTGATAGTATTGTTACAGTATTCTAAGTACTTACTGATTTTTCTGTCTACTTGCTCTATTATTGAGAGAGGAGGCATGGAAATTTCTGACCCTAAGTGTGGATTTATCTTTCACTGCAGTCCTGTCAGTCTTTTTCAGGGGTTTTTAAGTTCTGCTGCTAGGTGCATAGTTTTTTATTGTAATGTCATTTTGATGCATTTGCCCTTTTGTAATTATGAAATAGATTTCATTACCCCTGATCATATTATTTGCTCTTTAATCTACTTTGACCTTAATATAGCCACTGTATTTTGAATAGTTTTTTTCCTATGTTTTTAATTTGTCTCCTTATTTTTTAAAGAACATGTACAAAACAGACTGTTGTCTGTCTTTAAAAAAATCCAATTGACAATTTTAACTTTTCAATTGAGGTCTTTAAACCATTTCCTTTTAAAGACATTACTTTATGTTAGATTTAAATTATCTTGCTACTGGTTTTATATTGTCTCCTTTATTCTTCCTTTTTCCCTCTTTTCTGTCTTCTTTGGAATACCTGATATTTTCTACGGGTTTATCTCCCTTTTTGGTTTATTAGTGTTAGCTATAACTATTTTTTCAGTGTTTGCTTTAGGGGTTATCCTACACAACTAATCACAGCCTACCTTTAAGTGATTTTATACTCTGTATAGAGCATCAGACCCTTGCACGTGTCTGCTTCCATTTCTCCACTCTGGCTCTTTGTGCTATCATCATAGATTTTATTTTTACATATGCTATAACCCCATACTCAAGTCACAGACAGCATAATGACATTTCAGTCAACAACAGACCACATATGTGATGGCGGCCCCGAAGATTATAAAGGAGCTGAAAAATTCCTCTTGCCTAGTGATGTCATAGTCCTCATAACACAAGGCAATGCTCACGTGTTTGTGGTGATGCTGGTGTAAACAAACCTACTACACTGCCAGTCATATAGAATAATGATACAGAGAAAGAAAATATTTTTGTACAGCTATACGATGTATTAGTGTTTTAAGTGTTTTTACTAAAGAGTTAAAAAGTTTTAAAAATCAAAAAACATAAATTAAAAAGGTTACAGTAAACTAAGGTTAATTACTGAACAAAAAAAATTTTTTATAATGTATAAAAGTGTTCAGTGTTTATAAAATCTACATTAGTGTAATGTCCTAGGCCTTCACATTGACTCACCACTCATTCATTGACTCATCCAGAGCAACTTTCACTCCTACAAGCTCCATTCATGTTAAGTGCCCTATACAGGTGTACCATTTTTTATCTTTTGTATCATATTTTTATTGTATCTTTTCTATGTGAAGATATGTTTAGATACACAAATACTTACCATTGTGTTACAATTGCCTACAGTATTCAGTATATTACTATGCTGTACAGGCTTGCAGCATAAGAGCAGCAGGCTCTACCATGTAGCCCAGGTGTGTAGTAGCCTATACTATCTAGGTTTGTTAAGTACACTCCGTGATGTTTGCACAAAGATACAATTGCCTAACAACACATCTCTCAGAATGTATTCCCAATGTTAAGTGATGCATGACTGTAGGCTATTATTTAAACAATTATATTTTAAAGACATTTTAAACTTACCAATGTAGTTACTGTTTCTGGTGCTCTAAATTCCTGTGTAGATGAGTGTTCTGCAACCTACAGAACATGAGCCACATACACCCCACCATCTTTTTTGTTATGATCTTTAATTGGAATACAGCCACACCCATGTTTAAGTACTGTTGATCCAGTAAAGGGGAAGCAGAGTAGTTGTAACAGCAACAAAATATTTACCATCTGCCCCTTTACAAAAAAAGTTTGCTGATTCCTCACAGTCTCATTTTCATCATGTATCTGAATTACTATAAAATGTGGGATATAAAGCATACCAAAGGCCTGTTGTGCCATATAGGCTGTGAGTGGAAGTCATGCATTACTCATCTGAATGACCAAATATATATTTCTCATAAATCACAATATCACACCCAGCAATTTCACTTTTACATATATACCCAAGAGAAGCGACAGCATATATCCCCAAAAACATTTTGTAAAACATTGTCCACAGAATCACTTTCCATAATAGCCAAAATGTGGAAAGAACCCAAAGCTCCAGCAAATGATGAGGAGATAAACAAGCTGTGGAATATTACTCAGCAATAAAAAGTTATGAGGCACTAATAAATGTTCCAACATAATAACTCTTGAAAACACTATGCTGACTGAAAGAAGGGAGCAATAAGGCCATATATTGTATAACTTAATTTATATGAAATGTCTAGAATAGCCCCATCCATAGCGAAAGGAGCTTACTGTGTGCTTGTGGCAGGGGGTTGGGGGGCTGGAGTAGGGAATAACTGCTAAAGGGTATGGGTTATTTTGGGGGGGCGGTGATAAAAAATAAAAATACTGTGGTTGGGGAACATTGTAAATACAGTCATGCATTACTTAATGATAGGGATACATTCTAAGAAATGTGCCACTAGGCAGTTCCATCCTGTAAACATCATACAGTGCACTTACACAAACCTAGATGGTATAGTCTACTGCACACTTAGGCTACATGGTACTAATCTTATGGGACCACCATCGTATGTGTGGTCCGTCATGGACCAAAACATCATCCTGTGGAGCATGACTGTATACTAAATCCCTCTGTTTTGCACACTTAAGTGTGAATTTTGTTGTATGTAACTTATATCTCAATAAAAGAACCATGGTCTAATATCTCCATATTAAATTCAGAAGACAGTTCTACTAACCACAGCCTGCAAGGCACTGGAGAGACAAGTTCCAGTTCCTATTCTATGATGATGGCAATGGTAATGCCAAGAAGGGGAAGAACTGGAGAAACACATTTTAAGGTAAAAACATGCTTCCCAAATCCCGGTGATACACTTACACATTAGCAACGCATCTCTTGATCCCACATTATAAGACATTCCAACTCTCACTGAACTTAAAACGTGAGGACCCTCTTTCTTTACGTTTATGAAACATACTTTGCATGTCATTGCTCTATGTACATTTTCATGCCACACGAATCTGAAAACAAACCCTTGATTTATGTATCCTCCAGGTTTTGCAGAGAAGTAAAAAGAAATGCAATATAATATATAAACTGGGCTAAAAGGCATTTCAAAAACTAATTATAATAAAAATATGATTAACAAAATGGAACTTTACTATGGTCAAGAAGTCAAGGAATATAATGCTTATTACCATAACTTCATAGAGATTTTTATATCCTTTCAAAAATGGCTCTTCTGAAAAATTACCGAATCATATTATTGTCTGATAAACACCTCCACACATTTTCATGAAGCAAGTGTAAAAACATCTTAGGCAATTTATCTAAACAGTATTCAGAAACATTTTCAAGACTCCTATTGCTCAATGAGATCTATGTCTGCATCAGGAAAAGCAATGTAGAATGTCATTAGCATGAGGAACATTAGTTTTTGCCAACCAGTAAGAAGTTTCAAGAGTAAAATTTCAGTTTTATATTAAAGAGTCTAATTCCATTTTTGACGTCTGACTACCTAAGCCTCACTACACCCTCTTCCTATTCTGCCTACCTGGGCAGGACAAGCTGATAATAAAGCCCGAGTGCCCCTTCCCTTAGCACAAGCTGTAGGTTCACACCACATGAGTACCATCACCCCAGCCCCGTGGTATCTGCCATAACACAAGTCGGTCACCATTCCCTGCTCTGTCTAGCCATTTTTGGAACATGTGAAGTCTACCCTGCTCTCCTAAGAAAGCCTTACTATGTAAAAAAAAACATTCTCAAACACTTTAGTTTATGGAGTCATCAGTCTTGACATCCAAACTAAACTCGAGTGGGGTTCCGTCCTGTTCCAGCAGAGTAAGCCCAAGTGCAAACTAACAAAAAACGTGTTGAAGGGTGAACATATGAAATTTCTAATTTATCTATCACAAAAAAATCCATTGTGTATTTTCATTCTTAAGAAGAAAGTCATGAACACTGATCTTTTCAAATTATTTCCCTAAATACTCCAAGCACAAAAAAGATTGCATTATTCTTATCCTTATTTCTGAATTTTATTTCCTAATATTTTTCATATCTTTACTATGTTTTTATTTTTAATTTTAATTCATGTAAAGGTGTAATCCATGGTTCTTATTTCAGAACAAAAAAGACATGTAGAAATATAATCACATGGTACATATTCATGAAGGGGGAGGCAGGTTTTAGGGAGGGAGAGTCTGAAATTACTACTATGGTTTTATCATCACAGTGACAGAAATAATCTGGGATACAGTATGGAGCGAATAACTCAAATGCAAATTAGGACTATATATTTCCAAAATTGAAAGTTTTTTTAATCTACAGAGGAAAGTAATTGCTATAGATCCCATTCAACCCAGAAAGCCAAATGATGCATCATTAGTGTTCATTATGAAGTGCTCCAATGAAGTGTAATATGCCTCGGTTAATAGAAGGCACACGATTCATTCAAGGTTACCAAAAAAAGTTTACACTTTACTTATTGAGACATAAGTATGATACATTCTAAATAAAATGGTATCAAAATGCACTTTCAGTGGCCAAATTTGCATCCTTCAAAAGCACTCTCTACTATACTATGGCTCTTTTGATTAAACCGTCCTCTGTAACTCTGTTCAGTTTCCAAAAATAAGACTAATTTTCATTCATTTATGATACACAAGAATTAAGTTTAAAAAGAGGAGACCACCGTTCCTCCTCCATTCTTTCTACTATATATGCCGTCCTTAGTAAACCGTCATTCTATTCACATGGAAACGTCATTTTCAATGTCTTGGCCTTCTCTGTTTCATGATCATCTGGTAGAGCCATGCTTTCCTACAATCATCAACAGAGGCCCAGAGTCATACCAACAAATCCAGAGAAGGGGCTGTGACCAGAGAAAGCATGATAATTTAGATAACAGTTTTACACACATTCTCTACCACTCTCCATGCTCTCAAATTTACACCATGTTGTACTTAAAATTAGTGTCCTAGTTTTTCCAGGTTCCATGGATATGAATAAATACCATCTAATGAAGGAGCTCCTTTCATCTTACTGATCCCTTCCCTGAAACCATCATGGTGAGAAATGAAAAGCATGTATGAAAGTATAACATCAACAGGTTTCAAACTTAAGGTTGTAAGTCATCAATAATAATGTAGCCTTTCAAGAAACCTCAAAAAACTGAAAATATTTTATAAACTAAAGGTAATCAGACCTTTCCACAGATGTCCTTGCTCCATGGACACAAGAGTTTTAAATAATTTTAACTTTTAATTGTCTGTGGAATTTAACATCTGAGGTTGGTTAATCTTCAAAAGTAACAGACTCAGTTGTCTCTAGCATGAATTTTCTTACGTGCAGTCCACTGAGAGAATTGGTTAAACAATTCATCACTTTCCTTATGTTGGTAATATTTCCGTCCGAATACTTCTGTCTGAATTCTTAGGTGTATCATGGGGTCATTGCTTAAAGGCCTTGATACCTTTGTACGGTTTCCATCTTATATGAATTCCTTCATGACCACAAAATCGTACATTTTTGATAAAGCTGATCATACTCATTACATTTGTAAGGTTTCTCTCTAGTAAGAATTATGTTCCACAAAGCTTAAACTTTGGGTACACCTTACCATATGTTACATTTGTGTGGGTTCTCTCAAAGATGTATAGTCTGATATCAAGTGAGGTGAGAGCCCTGGGTACTGGCTTTCCCACATCCATTACTTTTATACGGTTTCTCTCCAGGATGGAGTCTCTGACGTTGAGTAAGGCTTGAACACTTGCATAAGTTTTGTCTCAATCATTATATTTGTAAGGTTTCCTTCTGCTATGAATTCTCTGATGATCCCCAAAGCTTAACCTCTGAATAAAAGCAGTGCCACATATATGAGGTTTATAATGTTTCTTTTTAGTATGTATTTTCTCATGCCTTGTAAGATTTGCAAATTGAATAAAAGCTTTGCCACTCTCATTGCATTTGTAAGGTTTCTCTCCGGTATGGATTTTCTTATGTTGAGTAAGATTTGAACGCTGTAAAGGCCTTGCCACATTCATTACATTTGTAAGGTCTCTCTCCAGTATGGATTTTCTTATGTTGAGTAAGATTTGAATGCTCTGTAAAGACCTTGCCACACTCATTACATTTGTACAATTTCTCTCCAGTATGCATTCTCTGATGACTTGCAAGGTTTGAATTTTGACTACAAACCTTGCCACATACGTCACATTTATATGGTTTCTCTCCTGTATGGACCCTCTGATGTCTAGTAAGGTTTGAGCACTGATTAAAGGCTTTGCCACACTCACTGCATTTGTAAGGTTTCTCTCCAGTATGGATTTTCTTGTGTTGAGTAAGATTTGAATGTGCTGTAAAGGCTTTGCCACACTCATTACATTTGTAAGGTTTCTCTCCAGTATGAGTTCTCTCATGACACCAAAGGTGTGAATGTTTGATAAAAGCCTTATCACATTTATTACATTTGTAACATTTTTCTCCTGTATGAATTCTCTGATGTTCCATAAGGCTTGAGCTTTGGAAAAAAGCCTTACCACACACATTACATTTGTGTGGTTTCTCTCCAGGATGTATATTCTGATGTCTAGTGAGGTGTGAGCACTGCTTGAAAGCTTTGCCACACTCAATACATATGTAAGGTTTCTCTCCAGTATGGATTCTCCTATGCTGAGTAAGGCTTGAACGCTCAGCAAAGGCTTTGCTACATGCATCGCACTTGTAAGGTTTCTCACCAGTATGAATTCTCTGATGTTGAATAAGTTTTGAAGACTGGTTAAAAGCTTTGCTACATTCACTGCATTTGTAAGGTTTCTCTCCAGTATGCATTCTCTGATGACTTGCAAGGTTTGAATTTTGACTACACACCTTGCCACATACCTTACATTTATATGGTTTCTCTCCTGTATGCACTCTCTGATGTCTATTAAAGTTTGAGCACTGATTGAAAGCTTTGCCACACTCATTACATTTGTAAGGTCTCTGTCCAGAATGAATTCTTTCATGATTTGTGAGGTTTGAGCTTTTACTAAAAGCCTTCCCACACTCACTACATTTGTAAGACTTTTCTCTAGTGTTTGTTCTTCCATATTGTGCAGGTAACACAGAATATTTTAAAATCTTCCTATATTTATTACAAATGCTTCTGACACTAGGAGGAATTCTTTGAAATGGTGAAACTGAGGAACCATTGTTGATGGACTTCTCAACTTGACTGCATTCATAAATTTTCTCCTCAGTTTGAAAACTCTGCAGTTCAGCCAGGTGTGCCTGCCAACTCAATCCAGTTCTGTTTTCCAAACACTTCATATACTTGTTTCCAGCATCACTTATGTTATTTTTCAGTTTTAACATATTCCTTATAAACGTCTTGTCATGCATGAAATATTGGTATGTATTATTTCTTATAGAAATACTCTGCTTTTGAGGAAAGTTAATCAAGGATTTATTATGTTTTCGATCTACTCTATGAGTAAGATTTTTGTTATGAGTCAAAGGCACTCCTTTGTAATTTCTTACATCATATCCCCATTCGTTCTTATGCTCACATATGTCTTCCACGATTTCCTCAAGGTCAAAATCCTTAATGCTATGGCTTTCATTTCTTTCCAACATCACTAGATGGTCTAATTCTCCTTTATTAACGTCCTCACTTGGTGATAATTCTTTTATAAGAAATCCAGCAGAATGGCTTCCTATTAAACAGAGGTGGAAAATAAATATTTTATATTGGATTACATAATTATACAAAAAATAACACTTACAATGAACATAGTTATAAAGTTTCTGAAGCACAGTCTTCAAACACTATTGTGATATACAGATTTTTAAAATTATTTAATAATTCATCCCATATTAATGTTTTGTCTGAACTTGATCCTAAATTTTCAAAGCACATATTATATACTATATTTTTGGCCATATAACTGGATAATTAAATGATACTCTATAGATAGGGAATTGATCTACGTACTTGCTATTGTATAACTGCAGGAATGAAATTATAATTGAGATTTCAGACTGTCTTCCCTAATCCTTAGTCCTTATAATGTGTGTTTAATAATGTGTGTTGATAGGATGCAAGAAAAAAGACACTAAAAAAATTTGCATATCACAATTATGATTGTGATATAAAGACTTTTGATAGTATTATGTTAATAACATTTTAGTAACCCATGATAATTCTAGCAGGTACATTAATAAGCAACCACTGTTATACAAAATAATAGTCTCTGTAATTCTAAAGAATTCTTCCTAAAGAGCTAAGGAAAGAATTTACATTCCAGAAGGAGCACATAATAGGAAAAATGAAAAATATGTAAAGAATCAGTGATTTTTGGAATATTGGTTTCAGGAAAACACATATTATTAGAAAGTTTAAGAATCAGGGTAGATTGTCTGAAATCTCAATTATGATTTCATGCCTGCAGTTAGATAACAGCCAGTATGCAGATCAACTCTGTAACTATGGAACATCACTTAATTATCCAGTTATAAGGTCAAATACATGTATAGTAAATAGTATGTGCTTTCAAAACTTATTATCTAAGGTCAGAGAAAATATTAATATGGAAAAAATTACAACAAGAAAACATACAAGACATAATGCAGGTAAAGGTCAATGTCATAATAAATAAGACAGAAAACTGACATATCTTATTAATGAAAGGTAACTTTTCAGTCCTTACTACATGCCATACAATATTTTAAGCCCCCTAATAGCATTAACTTATTTAAGTATTCTTGAGGTAAATCATTATAATTTTTCACATAAAAAAGTGGCCCATGAGGTTTATATATCTATCCCTAGTTCACACAGAAAGCAAATTCAAGAGCCAGGATTTCAGCCTGGGTGTGCAGACTAAGATGGAACGTTCATAAGCTTTAAGCACCAGTGCCATCCAGGCATAGAGATTACAACAGGTCACAACAAACGCCAAGAGCTTAGGAAGAAACGTTTCAAGGGAGCTAAAGACCCGAGTTGCATCACTTACAGTATGACTGTGCCCCCTATTGCCTGATAACAGCATGAATCATGTACTATACATGTTGACGCAGACAGTGACTAGAGTGTGCTGCTGTCCTGAACAAGCTGTACTGTGTAGGAGTGGGGGTCTTTCCTTCTCAGTGTACGCAGTGTGGGGAGGAGCCAGCCCCGTGGATACTGGGGTGCCTAGGTGCTCAAAATTAGTATCACAGAGGTACCACTATAGTTCTTTCAGATCAATGAAAAATGTGGGGAAAGGCCAGGACTGGGAATTAGAACAGCAAGAGTGAAGGGAAGGGAGTCATGAGCAATATGAGAGCAGTGCCTGTGTGTGCAAATCTAGGGGAATATGACTGTGCTATGGCAGTGAAAATCCTCACCTTGCAAAAAAGACAGGAAGTCATTTAGCAAGAGGCATAATACTGACTCCTTCTGTAGGAACTGTCCTATGGGCATGAGGCAAACAAGGAAGAGATTAAAAAGGGAGACAGTGTGGTGTTATAGGAAGAATGTAGGTTTACCTCTATTCCAGTATTTGCTCTAAAAATGATCAAACTAAATATCCCATGAAATAAGTTTCTAGGCATATACTTAAGAGAGTCATATATGTTTCAGAAGACATGTACAAGATTGTTCTCAGTAAGATCCAAAAGCAAAAAGCTGGAAATGGCCATCAAGAGGAGAATGGATGAATTCACTCTGTACAAACATAGCATGGAAGCAATAAAACCCTCTCAAGGGTCCAGCAAAAGAGTGTGACAGTGGGTTCTGATGATCTCTGACTGGGGGGCACAGAGGTTGTATGGTGGAAACAAAGTTAGCAGAAGGCTTTCCCCAAGGTATGAACTCTTTGGGGATGCGATTATATTTGGTAAAACATAACTTATGAACTGTATTGTATACTTTTCAAATTAGAAATTTATCAATTTTAACACAGCAAATTTGTTAGTCCAGTGTCCTTGTTTGTTATATAAAAATAAGAATCTTGGGGCCGGCCCAGTGGCACAGCGGTTAAGTTTGCATGTTCCGCTTCTCAGCAGCACAGGGTACGCCGGTTTGGATCCCAGGTGCAGACATGGCATGGCTTGGCATCCATGCTGTGGTAGGCGTCCCACATATAAAGTAGAGGAAGATGGGCACAGATGTTAGCTCAGGGCCAGTCCTCCTCAGCAAAAAGAGGACGATTGGCAGTAGTTAGCTCAGGGCTAATCTTCCTCAAAAAAAAAAAAAAATTAAGAGTCTCTTTTGCTATAATTTTTTAATTATTTGAAATCATATCCTTGGATCTTTTGACATTACAATCCAAGACATATAAAATATATCAGCTGAAACGCCGCTTACTATGTGCATTAGTAGATTTATAGCTATCATTAAGCATCTATAGAAATTAATATTGGTTAAAAGTGAATGATTTCTGATTTCACAAACATCATCAGAAAATAATAGCCTTAAGGGACATTACTAAATGACCTAGAGCACAGAATGCTTGGTATGAAGGGCAGTGTAAGTAGCAGCATTTAAGTGTAGAAACAAGTTTTTGGCAGTGCTGTCATAATCCATGGCAGAGGTCTATGTGCAGAGATGTGGTCAGGAACATAAGCAGCCAACAGTAGGTCAACTATCAGGACAGCAATGGGATGTGTGTCAATAAGGACCAGGTGACTTTTTATGGAATTCGTTGAAAAGGAGGACAGGGAACAAAACAGGGTTGATGGGTTAACTGAAATATATAATTCGAAGAACTTAAGAAATTGCCCAGAAACACAAGTGTCAGAAACAGTACTAATAAGGAATCCAGAGAGTGGAAAAAATTGCCTAAGATTTGTATTAAATGAAATGAGATATTTAAGTATTAGGTTAGTAGACAAAGATAATGCAGGATGAGTCTTGACACGGAGAATAATTATTAGAATAAACTATTTGTAGCAAAAACAAAAAATTCAGTGAATTTAAGATAAAATTCAAAAGTTGTTTTTAGAAAAGTACTAAATATATGGAAGAAGCAAAGTGTCATATAAAAAAAAAACATGGGAAATCAATTGAGTGGTATTTCTGTGACTAAGATGGTAATGTAATAAAAAAAAAAGTCTGTTTTCAAGATATCAAAAATTCTCAGTTTAAAAAAAGGAATAGATTTAAGTTAAAAGTGTAAAACCGAGATGCAACTATACATCTAACAGAGAGGCCAAAATCCAGAACACTGACAACACCAAACACTGGCAAGGATGTGGAGAAAGAACTCTCATTCATTGCTGGCGGGAATGCAAAATGGTAGAGCCACATTGGAAGGCAGTTAGCAGTTTCTTCCAAAATTAAACATACTCTTAGAACACAATCTAGTAATCATGCTCCTTGGTATTTATTCGAATGAGATGGAACCTTATGTCCACACAAAAAGGTGCACATGAATGTTTACAGCAACTTTAACCATAAGTGCCAAACCGTGGAAGCAATTAAGATGTCCTTCAGGAGGTGAATGGATAAATAAACTATGGTACATGCAGATAATGGAAATATTACTCAAGACTAAAAAGAAATGAGCTATCAAGCCATGAAAAGAAATGGAGGAAACTTAAATGCACGTTACTAGGTGAAAGAAGATAATCTGAAAAGGCTATATACTATTTGAGTCCAAGTATATGACATTTTGGAAAAGGCAAAAATATGGAGACAATAAAGAGACCCATGGTTGCAGGGGTTAGGAGGCAGGGAGAGATGAAGAGGTGGAACAGAGGATTTTTAGGTGAGTGAAATTTCTCTGTAAGATGATATTATGGTAGACGTGTCATTAAACATTGGGCCAGCCAATGTACAGCATCAACAGTGAACTCTAAGGTAAAGATGGACTTTGGATGATAATGATGTGTCAGTGCAGGTTCATGAATGGTAACAAATGTAATCACACTGGTGTAGGATGTTGATAATGGGCAAGGTCTGCATGTGTCAGCGTAGGAAATACACGGGAAATCTCTGTACCTTCCACTTAATTTTTGTGTGACATTGAAAATGCTTGAGAAAATAGTCTACTAAAAAACAAGTGTATGTAAACAGTAGATATGAAGTAATATGAAACAGAAGTAAAAGTAACAAGTAAGACTATCTTTTCAAAAAATTCTGGAGGTTACACAGGATTTCGGGAAATACAGAGTCATAAACACTCGAGGAAGAAATTCTGTAAAACATATAAAACAATATTCATTCCATGACCCCACAGCCACAAATTGTAAATATAAAACAAAGAACATATGGATATCATCAAAAATACGAAACCAATAATTAAATAAATAATGTTCTTTATAACAGTGAAATTAGCAAGATGAAAGTGGCTTGAACAAAACAAATTACAGTAGACTTAAAAAATGTAGGCATTAGGGGCCAGCCCCATGGCCAAGTGGTTGAGTTTGTGCACTCTGCTTCAGCGGCCCAGGGTGTCACCAGTTCGAATCCTGGGCGTGGACATGGCACCGCTCATCAAGCCATGCTGAGGTGGCATCCCGCATGCCACAACTGGAAGGACCCACAACTATGAAAGACACACAACTGTGTCCTGGGGGGCTTTGAGGAGAAAAAGGAAGAATAAAATCTTAAAAAAAAAAATGTAGGCATTGGGGCCAGCCCCATGACCCAGTTCATACGCTCTGCTTCAGTGGCCCAGGATTAACCAGTTCGGATCCTGGGCACAGACCTACACACTGCTCATCAAGCCATGCTGTGGCTGTATCCCACATAGGAGGACTAGAATGATGTACAACTAGCATATACAACTATGTGCTAGGGCTTTGGGGAGAAGGAAAAAAAAGCAAGAGGAAGACTGGCAACAGATATTAGCTCAGTGCCAATTTTCCTCACACACACACACACACAAAAAGAAATGTAGCCATTAGTCCACGCTATAAACTCCCTGAAATGGTGTGTCAAAAACGTATTTGTTGAAGGTGAATAAACAAGAGCACAACAGGGGATAAACAATGTGGCGTAAAGAGTAGTTCAGTCAATGTCTCAGAAATTAGATTGTGTACTTGGACAGTGTTCTCCTTAGGTTAAGTTCCTACACCTTTTATTGCCGATTCACAGCAGATAACCATATTATCTGATCAACACTGTCACACTGCCTTACAGAGGCACTGTTAAATTCCAGAAAAACCAGAACAATTGGAGGCACTTATCATTAGGCTCTCCTGATACTTTCCATGTCAGTATCCTGGGAGATGCTGACCACTCTTCCCAAAGGGTTCAAGACGCACTTCTCTACGTAGCAGGATAATACTGTAACATATTAATCAGTGTTCTCCAAGAATTTTCTGTTACCCAGTAAAAACTCTCCATAGGAGAATCCACAAGTTGTTTATCACCTAAAGGTGGGTTATCATAGCAGAAAAAGAGGATGAAACGTCACACCCTTAGAATGGTGTACTTCAAAAGCAAGTTTCAGAGGCAAAATCTTAGGAGAATGAGAAATCAAGGAGACCAAGGTCTTTCTATGTTCCCTGACAGGGAGAGCAGGAAGAGAGAGAAAAATACAAGATATGGGAGTAAAATAAGAGCATCAGATTTTGGGGGTTTCTTGAGAAGAGGCTGTGGGTTATGCCTACAGGCTATGGGGTGAGCATATACTCCTACACAGCAATGGGGACCCAGGAGAAGATCTCAATTTCTAGTCTTTATATTACTTTCCAGTAACAAACTCAACCAATCTCAGATCTTAAAATCCCTTTAACAATCTCAAATCCCATTCCTCTTCCCACACATGTGGATAAAAGAGAATGGAAGAGATGGCTGAGGGGCCTGAATAGGCAGACAGGGCTTGACACAGGCCCAGGGAGTTTCATGGAAACCCAGATACAATGGAAGAGCAGCTATTTTGCTTGTCTATCTCCCGAGAAGTCCTCCCAAGGACACGAAATGTGAATGGAAACTGAAGAGGTCCTGGGGTCATGACTACAGAGGCCTCAGCTCTGATCTATACGGACTGAGAACCCAGAGAGATCAGGGGGAAGAGGGCTCCTTAGAGACAGCCATCTCGGTCCCTCTCAAACCAAGGGATCAATGTGGTCAGAGGGCCCAGATATCTGAGTGGCGTATGTCATGATAAATCCTTTGCCTGCCTCTGCATGAGATGGAGCATCATGGTAGAATGTCATTTTAAACTTTTACATGTTTGAATAACAGAGTGGTAAGTGTGTGTGTGTGGCTGGCAGGGGAGAGATTTCGTTTGAGAGTTTACAAGAAATAAACTGTAATTTTCTCACAGATCCTTCCCAATTGAGAGTTTCCCAAACAATATTTAACAGAGCAGCTTACTCTGTGCCCATCTGAGCTCTTACTTGTGCTCACATCTCTGTACATTCCCATATGTCTGCATTTTTTCCTATTTCACTTCACTCTCCTCAGTCCAGGGCTGTTTCCCTTGCTCCGAAATGGAGACAATATTCTGCTCAAGAGAGATTTCAACTTACAAGCAAAAACAGAACAGGATGTGCTATGCTTTTCCAGAACACATTCCCAGCTCTTTTTCAGCTGAGAGGACGTTACAGATGGGTCTAGAAAAGTATTTCAAAAATCAGTCAGCTGACTGCCTCCTTCTGAATGCTATGGGGTTATTTTAAGTATACAGGTATCCAGCTCTCTCCCAAGAACTACTGAATCAAAAGCACAAAGGTAAAACCACAGAATCAGATATTTTTAAAAATTTGCTATAAGATTTTCTGACTACTACTGTTTTACACCAGCACTAATCAAGCACGAAATGGGCAGAAGTTCTGAAGAAAGGGCTAGTTAGGAGTCCATACGCCACATTATGAAGCCTTTCCTTTCTGAGTCAAAACAGTTTCAATCACTCTCTTAAGAACAGGGATCTGAAACTCAGACAAGCAAGTCAGGGGCTCCGAGGAGACTCACAAGGGAAAACGCAAGGATGTAAAACAGTAGTTACCAATTTCGGGAGGGAAGCTCTCCTCACCCAGGGAGAGCAGGTTCCTGCAGTTCTCCAGCATCACGTCCCTGTACAAGGCCCTCTGAGCGGGGTCCAGGCATTCCCACTCCTCCTGCGAGAACTCTATGGCCACATCCTTGAATGCCAACTGTCCCTGAAAGGAAGGCACGTTTCACCACGTGGACAGGGAGAGGGCTCTTATTGTGACACAAAATGAGAGAAGCAGACATGTACAAGGACTGACTTGGCTGCAGTGAGTGCTCTCACGGATCCATGTAAGAGAATTTTGAGCATGTTTATTATTTTTAACTGAGGTGAAATTCACATAACATAAAGTCAGCCATTTTAAGGTACAATTCAGTGGCATTTAGTACATTCACAATGTTGTACGAACATCACCTGTATCTAGCTCAAAAACATCTTTATCATCGCAAAGGAAATCCATTACCCATTAAGCAGTTGCTTCCCATTCCTCTCTCGCCAGTCTCTGGTAATCACTAACATGCTTTCTGTCTCTATGGATTTACCTATTCTGGATATTTTCATATCAATGGAATGGTACGAAATGTCTGACCTTTTGTGTCTGGCTACTTTCACTTAGAATAATGTTTTGGAGTCGTCCATGGTGTAGTATGTATCGGTATTACATTCTTTTTTAGGGCAAAATAATACTGCATTTCATGATCATACCACATTATATTTATTCACGCATCCATTGACGGACATCTGGGTTATTTCCACCTTTCGGCTAATGTTAACAGTGCTATGAACTTTAATGTACAAGTATGTGTTTGAATACCTGTTTTCAATTATTTTGGGTATTACAGGGGAGTGGAATTACTGGGTCACATGCTTTAATTTTTTAAGGATCTGCACATTGTATGCCACAGTAGTGACACCATTTTCCAGCAGTGAATCAGGATTCTAATTTCTCCACATCTTTACCAATACTTGCTATTTTCTGTTTTAGTATATTCATCCTAGTGAGTGTAAATGATACCTCATTGTGGTTTCGATTTTGCATTTTCCTGATGACTTATTTCAGTGAATATCTTTTCATGTGCTTGTTGGTCATTGTATATCTTCTTTGGAGAAATGTCTATTAAAGTTCTTTGACCATTTTTTAATTGGGTTCTTTGAATTTTGGTTGTTGACTTGTAGGAGTTCTTCATATATTCTGGATACTAGACACTGACCAGATATGTGATTTTCAAGTATTTTCTCCCACATGGTAGATTATGTTCTCATTTAGGTGACACTGTCCTTGAATGCACCAACATTTCTTTTTTTTATTTTTACTTTTTTGAGGAAGATTAGCCCTGAGCTAACAACTGTGCCCATCTTCCTCTACTTTACATGTGAGACAACTGCCACAGCATGGCTTGATGAGCACTGCTAGGTCCATACCCAGGATGTGAACCGGCTAACCCTAGGCTGCCAAAGCAGTGTGTGTGAACTTAACCACTGCGCCACCAGGCCAGCCCCTGCACCAACATTTTTTTATTTTGATGGAGACTATTTTATCTGTTTTGTCTTTCTCTCTTTGCTTTTGGTGTCATATCTAAAAATCCAGCACCAAACCCAAGGTCACTAAGATTTACCCCTATGTTTCCATCTAAGAGTTTTACAGTTTTAGCTCTTATATTTAGTCTTTGATTCCTTTTGAATTGATTTACTTACATGGTGAAAGGCAGAGGTTCAACTTCATTCTCTTTCATGTGGATATGCAGTTCTCCCAGCACCATTTAAGAGACTATTCTTTTTCCACTGAGTATTTTTGGCACCTTTGTAAAAAAGGAATTGACTATAGATGTATGGGTTTACTTGTGGAATCTCAGTTCTATCACTCTGATGTATATTTTTATCCTCATGCTAGAACCACAATTTGATTTCTCTAGGTTTGTAGTAAGATATGATGTCAAGAACTGTAAATCCTCCAGCTGTGTCCTTTTTCATGTTTATTCTGATCTTTTGGGGTCCTTATCAATTTAATATGAATTTCAGGAGCAGGTTTCCCATTTGTGCAAAAAAGGGTGTTGAGATTTTGCTGGGGATTACATTGAACTTTTATATCACTTAGGGGAGTACTGCCATCTTAACAATACCACATCTTCCAATTCATGAATGTTGGACATCCTGACATTTATTAAAGTTTTCTTAAATTTTGTTCAGCAATACCTCCTGATTTACAGTGTATAAATCTTCCATTGCTTTGGTTACATGTATTCCTATTCTTTGTGATGCTATTGTAAATGGAACTGTTTACTTAGTTTCAATTTGTAGATTGCCACTGTACAGAAATACAACTGAATTTTGAGTGTCGATATTGTATTCTACAACTTCAGTGAACTTGCTTATTATCCCTAAAGTTTTTTTTGAAGATTCTTTATGTACTTCTAAATATGAGATTATGTATACTGTGAATAGAGATAGTTTGATTTATTTTCCGATTCTGACTCTTTTTATTTCTAGTTCTTGTCTATTTTCTCTGGCTAGAACTTCCAGTACAATTTTCAAATGTAGTGGCAAAAGTGGACACTCTTGCCTTATTCATATCAGGGGAAAGATTGCTGTCTGTCACCAATGAGAATGATGTTAGCTGTGGGATTTTAATAAATATCCTTTTTCACAGTGAGACCGTTCTCTTTCATTCCGTTTTGAATGCTCTCTGTTTATTCTGGGATGGATGTTCTGTATACGTCTGTTAGGTCTAGTGGATTTACAGTGTTGCTCAGTCCTTTATTTCCTTATTGATCTTCTGTCTGGTTATTCTATCTATTATTGAAAGGGGACTACTGAGGTCTCTAAATATTACAGCAGAACTGTCTACCTATCTTCAATTTTTGCTTCAAAAAATGCGGGGCTTTCTCATTATATGTATATGGTTCATAGTTTTATCTTCTGATGGGTTGACCCTTTTATTGATATACAACCTTCTTCAACATTTCTGTTAACAATTTTATGACAAGTCTATGCAGTCTTATATTTGTGTAGCTACCCAGCTAGGTCAGCTTGCTATCTGCATGGAATATCTTTTTCTATCCTTTTACTTTCGATCTATTTCTATATCTAAAATGAGCCTTTCGTAGACAGATACAACGGAATCATGTTTTTTTAAAAATTAATTCTTCCAATCTTTGCCTTTGAATGAAGAGTTTATTTGCATTGAAAGTAATGACTGATAAAGGAGGAATTACCACCGCCACTTAGCTATTGTTTTCTATGTCTAATGTCTTCTTTGTTTTCTAATTCCTCCCTAACTTCCTTCTTTGTGTGTGTATGTCAGGGTGTGCCTACCACTTTGATTCCCTTCATATTTACTATTCTGTACAGTTTTTAGTTATTTTCTTGGTAGCTACCTGGGGGATTGCAGTTTAGAGGCACACCTCATTTTATTGTGCCCCACTTTATTGTACTTTGCAGATACTGTGCTGTTTACCAGACTCTCCATCAGCAAAAAAATTACAACTCGCTGAAGGCTCAGACGTCATTTAGCATTTTTTAGCAATAAAGGATTTTTAAATTATGGTATGTACATTGTTTTTTTAGACATAATGCTACTGCACACTTAAGAGACTACAGTATAGCATAAACAGCTGTTATATGCACTGGGAAACCAAAAACTTTGTGTGATTCCCTTTATTGCAATATTCACTTTATTACCATGGTCTGGAACTGAACCTCCAGTATCTCTGAGGGATGCCTGCACATATGAAACTAATAATACTTGAGTTTCAGTTGATATTTAGTTTTAATACAAGAATAGCTCCTATAATGTCTCCCTTATACTGTTATTGTCAAAAATTACTTCTTTATACATTTTGCACTCATAAGAGATTTATAATTATTGCACTACACATTTACCTTTTAAGCCATATAAGAAAAAAAGAGTTGAAAACCAAAAAATACAATACTGGCTTTTATATTTACCTATGCAGTTACCTTTACCAGTGTCCTTTATTTGTTCCTACGGTTTTGAGTTACTGTTTGTGTCTTTTCCTTTCAGCCTAAAGAACTCCATTTAGTATTTCATGTAGGATAAGCATCAGCATAAACTCCTTCAGCTTTTGTTTCTCTAGGAGTCTCTTAATTTCACTGTCAACTTTTTTTTTTTTTTTAAAGATTTTTTTTTTATTATTTCCTTTTTCTCCCCAAAGCCCCCGGTACATAGTTGTATATTCTTGGTTGTGGGTCCTTCTAGTTGTGGCATGTGGGACGCTGCCTCAGCGTGGTTTGATGAGCAGTGCCACGTCCGCACCCAGGATTCGAACCAACGAAACACTGGGCCGCCTGCAGCGGAACGCGTGAACCCAAACCACTCAGCCAAGGGGTCAGCCCCTGTAAATTCATATTTTTAAAATAAATTTGGGAGGTCTTCAGCTCTTATTTCTTCAAATATTCTTTGTGCCCTTTCCTGTTTCTCCTTTCCTTCTCAGACTCCTATCATGTGTACGTTAGAGCATGCTTGATAGTGTCCCAAATGTTTCTAAGTCTCTGTTGACTTTTCTTTTTTCCCCTTTCTTCTGCTCAGACTGGATAATTCCAGTTAACCTATGTTTAAGCTCACTGATTCTTTATTCTGATTATCAATCTGTTGTTGACATCTTTCAGTGAACTTTCAGTTTCAGTCATTGTATCTTTCAGCTCCAGAATTTCTATTTCATCGCTCTTCTATAATTTCTCTTTATTGATATTTTCTCTTTGTTGAAACATTGTTCTCCTACTTTCCCTTAGTTCTCTGAGCATGATTAAAACAGTTGATTTAAAATCTTTCTTTAGTAAGTGTAACGTCTGTGCTTCCTCAGGAACCCCATCATTAACCCAGCCAATCATGGTCATATTGCCCAACTGGAGAAATCTTCAGATATCGGTAGTTAAGTTGGCCTGCTCACAAGCAGCCACTGTGGCATCCTTTACAAGACTGAAAAACCATAAATTACACGTGTCTTCATTAACAGAATGCTCCAATGAAGATCGAAAACAGCACGTTATCCTTATGTTTACTAACATGAAAACAACTCCAAAACATATGGTATCTCAATACTGAAATTTGCGGAATAAAAATCTGCACAAAATATTTACCAAAGGATATTTTCTAAAATCACATTATGATATGTAAATGCATTTTTACAAGACTAGCACTAAGGAAAACGAGAACTCTGTTCCTGACAGAGACAGTAAGTCATAGTGGAACACGTGACAGGGAAGGGGCTATTTGACTGGTTTCTACACTGTATCACTGCGTTGAGCTGAACCACAAAAACATACACAAGATATTTAATGCAAAAAAGCGTAACATTTAAAACAATTAGTGGAATCAGATTTAGGCTCCAGTCTCTCTGATGACAGGAAGTTCTGCTCCTATGTCTTGGCTAAATTATAACCATTTTTATCTAAAAAACCTACTGCAGGAAAGTCCCTAAATGAACACTAGGGTCTTTGTGACATGGACGTGCTGTGAATAATTTAAAGAATGCTTACTATTAGCTAGATTCTACATTTTAAAATTAATTATGTAATAAAACACCCTCTCTATTCCTTATTTCTATTTCTGAACTTCACATTCTATTCCAAAGTATTAATATTTTGGAGTCAGGAACACACCGATTCACCTGTTTATCTTCAAATGCATTTATAACATCAGACAAAGCACGTTTCCCCCATCAGTCTTCTTTTCCAGAGTTTCCTAGGTATTTATGCACATTAATATATCACTTTCATAAGTGGTCTCTTTAATCCTGGTTTACACAGAACGCAAAGGGCATCCAGATGGAGCCCCTGCACAATCCTTAGTGCCCAACCTCACTGACACCACAGAGCCCACTCCCCATCTCTAATCCATGCTGAGTATACAACCCTTCACAGGATGATCACCTAAAAGAAGCCTCTTTCCACGTTCCATGTCACTGGGTCACAATGAGATGGAATCTCCATGGAGCTGAGAGGAGATTGAGGGAAGGGCCTGCACGTGAGCCAACATTTTAGGCAAGACACTTCAGAGACAGAGAAGATCAACAAGTGTAAGACGTGGCATTTTAGGAAGGACAAAACAGAAAAATCAACTAAGATTATGACTTTTACCTGGTAAAGAGCCATTCCTCCCTCTGTCTGTCTTCTTCCTCTGGGATTTTCAGCTTAGGTTACTCTGTTTGACAAAAACATGTTGTTCAATGCTTAGAATCAACACACTCCTACTTCCTCTGCCACAAGTATACACATAGGGAGAACCTTAATACAGGCGAAAGATGGCCCTTTGCTGCCCACTGCAACAGAGGGATGCAGGGAAATATACTCCATACAGAGACCTATAAGTGAGTTTTTCACCCGTTTCTTCAGAAAGGCCTCCCCTCCTGTTGAAAGCCACACACTCTGCTGCAGGTGCATTGTCCTTAGTCCGCTTGGCACTCAGCCAAAGGAAACTGCCTCATCCAACTTTTTTTTAGCTCCTCCCTAGATAGCCAGCATCCAGTTCCTGGTGGATGCAGGATATAGCAGCCTCTCCCTTCAGTCACTTTGGACCAGCTCTGACAGCCCACCAAGCTCCAGGGTTTCCTGAAGTAACTACTCTGAGGAGTTTAGACTTTTGTGATGAGGGTGATGGGAAACCCTAAGAGGTTTTAATACTACGAGATGATACCATCAAACTTAAGATTTATAGATGATACAGAAAGAAAGAGAAGCTGAAGGAGAGGCATACCTCTGCTCCTGCCTCTTTCTTAATGGTTTTCATTATTTTTGGAGGATTGGGACACATTCCAAATTCTAACTCTACCTGGGCACCCTCTCCCAGAAAACTATCAAATGCAGACAACATGCCCACTTTTGAACATCATTTCAGGGGTCCCATTTGCTCAGACCCAGAATTCCTGGTCTGCTCTATCATCTCCATGTTACAGGTGGGTGCACCGAGGCTCAGAGGGGGAGTAAGTTTACCAAGGTACCCTGAAGAGGGCTGAGTTCACTGAGCAGAACTAGGTGTAAGTGGTGGCCTGCAGACGGCACCTGGATAGGGTACTAAGAGTTTGTTCTAATTCCAGATTACCTTTCATATTCTTGAGCAAGAGAAGCTTCTCTTTCATTGGTTTAATAAAACCCTAGCACTTAATTCCTCTTTTCCAGAAAAATATAAAAAAATATGAAATTACAAACAGTTACTAGGCCTGGAAAACATGAACAAGGGTCACCTGGAGATGGGCTCTAAGCAATCACTTCATATGGAACAGATGGGATCTCCTGGCATACAGTTCTACATCCACCCAGCCCACCTTCAGCCTCTGCACAGAAAGCACACAGGGGACTTGAGGGGAACATCTGCTTTGTTGGAGACATCAGCTCAGAGGTCACTAATTTAACAGATCACTTTAGGGAAGAAAGAAGCTCTTGACTATTAAACTGGGTGAGTAGGTTTTGAGTGTTAAAAGATTATCAACGTCCTTACCAGATGCCTAGTGAATACTGTGAAGTTCTTTACAGACATCAAAGAAGAGTTCCAACATACAACAGAGTAGAAAGCAGATAAATCTCAGACTCTGAACAATAAAATTAAGAGGGAGGGGCCAGCCCCATGGCCGAGTGGTTAAGTTCCCAAGCTCTGCTTCAGCAGCCCAGGGTTTCGCCAATTCAGATCCTGGGCACTGATATGGCACGGCTCATCAGATCACACTGAGGCAGTGTCCCACACAGCACAACCAGAGGCACTCACAACTAGAATCTACAACTATGTACTGGGGGGCTTTGGGGAGAAGAATTAAAAAAAAACGAAGAAGATTGGTAACAGTTGTTAGCTCAGGTGCCAATATTTAAAAAAAAAGGGAAAATAATTTGGAAACACAAATTGTCCATTAGATTCTGAGATTAAACTTAAAACAAGGGTAAGGATACTTCATACTTAGAAAAGAATGACATGAGCCACAGGTGACAGTCCTCCCCCATTTCTTGACAGGGAAGAGGGTGACCTGGAATTGACTGAGCTAAGTCTCTGCCCTCAGGGTGCACAGGGGCTTCAAATGGAATTCTCTTCTGGTGCGATAAGTAGAAAATGTAGATATCTCATAATACCTGGTTTTGTAACTCTCACTCCTGCATAATTTAACCAGTTCAACAAATCTGAAATTAATTAGGTTACACAGCCACAAATCAGTACTTCTTGACAACCTAATATCCCATATCGAGTCAACTCAATACTCCCTGGATTTGGGTCCCTGGCTGTCTCCACCACTGTGTGTTTTGTTCTCTGTATTTGTCTCTGTCCTGGTTCTCTCCTCTCTTTTGTCCATTTCTGGGTTTCTCCCCTCTGTTTCTCCCCATCCTTTTGTTTCCCTCCCTCTCTACTCCTCCTCCTCCTACAGTGCTGGGACCACTCTGCGGCAACCTCTATTTCAACGCCTGCTGTTCTTTCTCCCGAAACTTTCTGGTGACCCTCTAACTCCACATATTTCCGCCTCTTTCTCCCCATCTCTGTGCCCCTCTGCTCTCCCTGGAGGGGACGAAGGGCTTGTATCCGCCTCCTGAGCGAGGCCTTTACCACGCGGTTGGGCGGGGAGTCGGGCGTCAGACAAAGAGTTTGAGCAGGAAAACGACGCGGCAGCCGGTCGGTGTCTCCGTGGACCGAAGGCAGAAAGGTCGGGCGGCACCTGCCTCGGAGCGATTTTAACCGGAAACGGACGCGACTCCCGGACCCGCGCGGAGCCACAGGACTCGGGGCGTCATATGGCGACGCCGCGAGAGGAGAAAGGGACGAACTCACAGCGACAGGGACGAGCGGGTTCAGAGATCTTAACTTAGGAAGCGACCCTCGAACCCGGGTGTGAGGGACAGGAGCCTGAGCACCGCAAAGCGCAGGTACGAACCAGAAAAACAGACTTACTCGCCCGACGACGGCGGTTGCTCCGCGAGATCCGCCTCCGGTTGGTGGGAATTGCGCGTGCGCACCCGCATCGGGGCGGGGCGGGCACGGTGGCCGGGTGGGGACCCGGCGGCCTAGGGGCGGGGCCGGGTGTCTGGCCTTTTTGTCCGCCCCTCGGGTTTCTGTGGGTGTTTGTCCTGCCGCCCAACCACTTTCTCCTTTTGAGTTCCTTTGAATCTGTCCGGTGTCCCTGGAAGCCAGGCTGGCTACAGAATTAGACATATGTGGGCCAGTTACCCTGGGAGCGGCGATATTTCCTTGTAACAAATTGAAGATGAATTACGTGCAAGCTTTTTGACAGCGGAGAGAGACGCCTGTCGTGTGAGCGCGGCTCTGAAGCGCTGGGACCTGTCGGGGGCGGGGGGGCGGGGGGGGCAGGGGGTTGTGGGAGGCGGTGGGATCCGGAAGGTCTGAGACCCCGGACAATTACAGCTGCTTCTTTAAGCAAAAGTCAGAGTTGTCTGTGTGGGTGACAGAAACGAGAATGTGACATAAAACGCAAAACTGTGCCTGCGCGGAATGTGCAATTTTATACTAACTACACCAGAACGGAATTTCTCTTTATTCCCCTTGCATGTGGGAGGCAGATGCAACCCTGGGCTGGGTTCCAGGGACTTTGCGGGGCCAGGCCCTGGGCTATGGGGATGCAAGGCTGACACGTTGCTTTAAAAGAACAACATTTTGTTCTTGTATGGATAGAAATTCATTTTTCTTTGTTTAAATTTAAATTGTTATACTAATCCACACCTCTACAGAGGAATTAATAATCCAAATACATTTGAGAGCTACTGGATAGCATCCTGGATTTCCTAAAGTCATTAATTACTAAATGTAATTGAAATTTTAATTTTGTAAATTTTTCTTCTCAGTTATTTGAAACATTATTTTTAACTTGAAAATTAAATTAGATAGATCAGGTATTTTAACCTCTTTTTTGTTCTGAATGTTTTATCCATGTGCAGATAATTAGGCTTGTAAAAGGGGGACTCTTTGGGAGGTATTTGGCTTTGCTTTTAACTAATGAAATATCAATTTTGAGGTATTTCCAGAGACACGTGATAAGGATGTGTATCCCTTTAGTGAACAATAAATCCAAAAGTATTACTAGCTTTCCACTTTTGCAATAGCATTATTTACACCGTTAATAATTTTTAATTAGAAATATGCGAGTTAATAGTTCCTTTTCTGTTCCCTGTGGAAATTCTGAGGGTGGTGCTGGCTGGATTTTGGATCAACCGGATCACATCTGTACATGTTCCAGAAATTACTCAAAGGTTATTTTCAGTAAACAGCACTCTTCATTTGCCCCAGAACACCAGTTTCTCAAACTTTTAAGGATTTTTTCCCTCTATTATTTTACTGAGGTTTTATTTGTTTTAAGTACTTAAATACTTGGACTGAAATGGATTGAAACTTTGGAAGATCAATTTCTCTTGGGGAAGAAAACAGAAGCGACCCCTCCCCTGTCCCTCTCTCTCCGCGGACTCCCTGTGCTGAGCTCACTTCCCTGAGCTCTGGTCACTCCATACGGATGACTTGCAAGCAGCGGATCTCCAAGGAGCCAGGACTGTGCACCATTTGGGGTCAAGAGGTGCTGATATCTGAACTCCCCATCTAGCTTTTCTTCAGCCACCTTGCCTTACATGGGGGCCCCTAACCCACATTTTTAATTAAATATTCTCCTCTTGTGTTGACATATAACATGTGCTTGGTAATTTTCCTGACCAACTGAAGTGATTTCTCTTGGGCCCAGACAGGAAACTGATTGACTGGAGGCTCCCATGCTCCCCAAGAGAAGCTGGGCCCATAAGATGCTGTCTGAGTAAACCAAGGTCTAGTCGCCAGCTCAGTGGCTCTCCTTTTCCTGGCTGGGAATTATTTCTGGTAAGAGGTGGGGGGTGAAAAATGTGAGATTGCATTTTAGTCTAAATCCTCCTTAATATATACATATATATATGTAAAAAATATATATGTATGTTTTTCTTTTTGGTGAGGAAGATTGTCCCTGAGCTAACATCTATGCCAATTTTCCTCTCTTGTATGTGGGACACCACCACAGCCTGGCTTGATAAGAGGTGTGTAGGTCCATGCCTGGGATCTGAAACCAGAAACCCTGGGCCGCCAAAGCAGAGCATTTGAACATAACCACTTCGCCACTGGGCCAGCCCCCCTCTACTTATATTTTTATTAATATTGTGATAATTTACAAAGGGAAACTGCATTTAAGATGGAATCAGGAGGCCAGAAGGGGAAGCTCTCTTGCAGTACCAACTAAAGTCAGTAACAGGAAAGATAGTCAATTACTGACCACAACGGACGTCATAAACAGGAAAGAATCATTAATTACAGGAAGAAATATACATTGTAACCCAAAGAAAATTGACTACCCCAGCAACTGGACCCTTGAGAAACCATGACTGCCCTCATCTCTTGCTTTGCTCCAAGGGACTTTCAACTCTACTCCCTTCTTTTTTTATTTCCTCCTTTTTCTCTATAAAATAATATTCCTCTCTCATTTGTTGAATTTACCTGTGGATCGCCACAGCCTGCACTTTCTCAATTGCAATTCTTTGGTGACTCCTGAACAAACTCATTTTGCTGGTAAAGTAACTGGCTGTTTCATTTTTAAGGTTCATATATAAGGTATCTGAAGTGGGATCAGAGGGAGGCAACCCCCAAGAGTTGGCAGCCTCTGGAATCTAGCAGGGTACCCAGCTCAAGCCCCTCGTGCTCACTGCTTCCATGAGTCACTGCCTACTTTGTTTGGTGAGTCTTCTCTTGTTTGAGCTCTGCTCCCTCTGGGCTCTGAACTTTCTAACTTTATTTGGGGTCAGGAGAGGCTTTGTCCTCTCCAGAAAGGTACTTTGTCCTCCAGGTTGAAAGCTCTGTCCTTGGGTTCCGAAAGTCATCCTTGGTTGGTCCTCAGTTGTTTTCTGAAGGTAACTCAGTTCCTTTTGGGGCTCAGCCTTGCTGAAAATCAGGAGTTTTATTTGGTCTTCATATTCCTTTTGGAATCAGGGCTGGGAATCCAGCTACATTTCTTTTCTTTTCAGATTCCTTCAAGGATCAAGGGCTAGGATTCTAGTAACTTTCTGGGGTTTTCAGAGGAGATTTCAGAAATGGGATCCCAGTCATCTAAACATTCTGAGGGAAACCCTCCTTCAGGGACCCTGGCTTTTGAGCACATCGGGCCCCCTACTTGTGCACTTTTAACTAAGTAGGCCAAACTGACCAAGAGTAGTCTGAAATTACAGTGGTCATCAAAGGGAACTTTAGATCTGCCTAAACTTATTTTCCTTAAAACCAGATTGGAAGATCACAGCTCTAAAATGAAGCAAAGTGAACGGTATGTTTATTTTAATTGGGACCTTAAGGCCTCCAGATGTGCACAAAATTCTAAAACTGCCTCCCTACAAGGCACCATATTTAAATTACCAAAAACCACTAAAAAGCTGAGGGAAGACAAAATGGCTTCTAAAGCCTATCTTTCCCTTCTCCTGTTTTTTTTTGTCTTATGCTCAGGACCCACCTCTGGTGCCATCTGGCTTTTTCACCCCCTCTAGTGTTGAAACTTTGTCCATCTGAGCAAGTAACCTTAACTTAGTTCATCTTCCAGAAAGGCAGTTTGGGTCCAACTATTCCTTGGCTGTTTGTATCTGAGACATGGCTGAAATTTTTAAAACAAATGCTGTAAGATCTCTATGTCTATGTATATGTTGTATATGTCTGTGTATATATATGATATTTTTCTATCTCTGGATGGTAAGATTGATTTGTGAGAGAACTCTATTTAATTGGCTTGAAATTAACTGCTTATAAATTAATTATTCCTAAACCTCAGAAATACAATGGAAATTAGCCCACATGTTTTAAGTTTATATGATCTAGGATTAATTTTTAGTACATAAAAGTTAGCTTAAGGTTGTTGGCTTAATTGAAACAGGCATGCCTTTGGAGTTACCAGTGTTGAATATAATGCAGACAATGCAACTTTCATTCCATGTGGGTTTACTAAGCTCATGTTATCTCTATCAGCAAAAAAGGAACTTAAGATGCTGGTTGCCTATTTAATATCAAATCAAAGCATGATTTTTAAAAGCAAGTTAAGTTAAATAAGTGAAAATGAGATCAAAGTTTATACTAAGGTAAACTAAATTATGTATGGTCATTGAATATCTAAATCATTTCCAAAGATGAGCATTAATTACTGACCATAGGTTTATCTACTTTTGTCTTCCTATTGCAGAGAAACTAAAGCTATTTGAGTCTATTAATGAACATGTTTTATACTATGCTGAGAAATTTACAATGAGGAAAGGCATACGTTTCTAGAAATTTATAAAGCTATTTATAATTTGGCCAAGCTGCAAAACCCCAATATAGTTCATAACTGCTTACTTCTTAGGTTTTCACTACAAATTAAGGATTCTAAGGGTTAAGAATTCTAAGCAATATATGAAATAATCAGAGAAACATCTCTGGGTGCAAGGGAAGTAGGGTATTTTGATAAAAGAAGGTATAAGGATTGGAAATGCATTTTGTTTAGGGAAAAGAAAGTAATTTTGTCCTAAAGAATTTTCAGAATGGGAAAGAGGAAAACATAGGACAAAATCTAAATGAACAAAAGTGTAGGTGGTTTGTTGGAAGGAATCTTGGGAAAGGAATTTTTTTTGGTGAGGAAGATTGACCCTAACCTAACATCTGTTGCCAGTCTTCCTCTTTGTGCTTGAGGAGCTGAAATCTGTGCTATCGTCCTCTATTATGTATGTAGGTCGCTGCCACAGCATGGCTGACAAGTGGTGTAGGTCTGTGCCTAGGATCTGAACCCGTGAACCCAGGCTGCCAAAGCGGAGATCAACCAACTTAACCACTACCCATGGGGCCAGCCCTGGGAAAGGAATTTTAAGATGTGGTAAAGCTGGCTAAAATTAAAATAAATTTATTAAAAGGAGTTTTAATACCTAAGTAAGCTGATGCAAAATTAAAAATTGGCTTTCTTTTCTGTTGAAAAGACAAGCTTTCCTTAGGCTATTGGTCTGTTTTTTTAAATTGTGAAACCTGCTTTACCTTTAAGTAATATGTGAAGTAAAGAAATTTTGTGTTTTATCAAAATAATTTCCTGTGCTGTTTCTGTCAGGTCTTTAATTACTTAAGAGAACTGAGTCTTAGTATTAAAGGATTTAAGTTTTGCTCACAACCATGTAATTTTTTGTATTTGTCTTTGAAACCTCTTATTTTTACTTTGGTCAAACAGACACTTAACTATTATTTCATAATGATGTGTGATCCTATTGGGTCAAGTGTCCAAACCATTTGATATTTTTAATAAGATTCCCCCAATATTCAAATTCTAAATGAAGTCTTCAACTGGATGTAACTTTGGGATTTTCCAGAGGGCATCTGAGAGAGCTCAAAAGATTTGTTCCTTTTTCTTAGAAAAAGAGAGCTATTACACTAATTAGCCTTATTTGGTGTATTAAATTACATGAGAAGCATGGCTGAATAAGCAATAATAAACCTTTTTAAGTTATATGGGAGATTGTTACTAAAAAGTACTCTAGAAATTGTACAAAATTCCTCAGCATCTAGTATGTCCTAATGTTATTACCTGTAATTCTAGTTACTATCTAAAATGTATGTCACAAACATACCCACATTTCCTAGTCAATTACATTCACGCATTGCCTTTTTAAAAGTCTTTCATCAGTTACAGACAGTCCTTTTTCTACTCTGATGCTTGTACAAATATGTTTCATTTTCAAAAAGACTTATGAAAAAGATTTTGACAACTATACTGGAATACAGGTTTTAATAACTTTAATATCCTAACATTGAACTGGGTGGAAATTTCGGAACTCAAGTAGAGGACTGATTACTTTGATGTTTTCTTTTCTAGATGTAAAGGACCCCTTTTCTTCTCTCCTTAAAGCTGTCTGTAATGGGAATTTGATAAAGAGTATCTTTGCAACAAGGGTTGAAACATTTATCTTTTTCTCTCCACCTAATCCTTCCAGAATTTGAAAACCCTTAAGTTTTCTTTTCATGACAATATATGTATTTGCATCAGTCAAGGTCTGCTCTCCTCATAGGAAGACACAATTGGAAACATTGACTACATTAGCAAGGCTTTGACTAGAACATCATATTCAAGAAAGATGTACAGAGACTCAGAAATGACCAGTTTTAAGGAACTGCTTGGAAAAATCAGCCTGGTACCTTGCTTACGAGGTTTTAGCAAAGCAATCTTAAAAAAGGGCTTATATGATGAATCACTATTTTTGCTGCACTTATGTCAATAATCTGGCCAAGTTTACTAGGAACAAATTAGTTTTACTATGACTGTCTTTAGTAAAAACGGGGATAATTGTAGCGAGAGAGATTATGTTTTCACCTTTGTTAACATTAAATTCTAGTACTATTAATCATCTTTAATGTTTTGTTATATACCTGTAAGCTAGACTGGATCCTAAACTCTAGTTTCCTTAAATGTCTGGCTATGATATTCCAAACTAACGTTTCCCGTTTTTACTACCCTTGAAATATCCTTGGAAGGGACTATACTAGGCCGTCTCAGTACCCAGATAGCAGTGCAACTTTAGAGACTCATGTCTTGGATACACATCTCACAGGTAAAGAAGGCTCCACCTGACATCTTGTCCCGTACAAACGCTGGGGACCTCCAAATCAAATTGACTAGGAAGAGAGGAAACTGACATCTGAGTCAGACAGCGTTCCCAAGGTGTCTGGCCCAGGCCTGTGTGCTTTTCTTTCACTGCTATCTCTCACTTTGTTTCCTCCCTCCCTTCCATGAAAGGATAACACTCCTGTCCATATTCTCAAACCCCTGCAAAATGAGGAAACCTCTCTGATAACTGGATTTGCCGTCAGAAACCTTGGTCCCTTCAGGACAATAAGGACCCTTTAGTTCACGCTCTAAGAAATTTCACTGGAATTGCAGATGGTATTATATGTTTAAATTGTTCTGCATGCCCATTTTCTAAAGTCAGGGTACCAATCCCACCTAATTTCGTTTCTTGCTTTAAATTAACCTAAAGTTGGGAGGGAAGGACAAGATTTTATGAATATTTGTATTATGAGTTCGTAGGATGGCCAATGTAAATCAGATCATTTATACATTGTTGGTATACCCATATAGTTTGGCACCCTCTCATATATAACAACACAATGTCTGAGCCTTGGTTACATGGTGGTAATGCCTCTCTGCTGGTGAATGATTCTGTAGATACTGTTACTTATGCTGAAGCCTTATGTATACCCCCTGGTTACACTTTCATATGTGGAGACTCCCACAATAGACTTTATCCTTGGGCATCTAATTGCTTGACAACTGGAGAGTACAAGGACAGTGTGCCCTTGCCATATTCACCACCCTGTTCTCCCTGCATAACCATCAGAAGCCTCTCATTAAGCAATTGCACTAAGTTCATATAATTGCGTGAAATGAGAACTTCCAGGAGGTGTGCACGATTCTGAGTTTGCCTTTGTGGGAAAAGCTTTCTTCCCACGGATTGGAGTGAGTGCCAGGGAACAAATGATCAGGAAGCTCTCTGTAACACTAGAAGAGTTGGCCGATTCCACACCTAAAGTAGTTGTGACCCCAAAACAATCACTTAAGTCATTGGCCAGGGTAATTTAGATAACCATATAGCTCTTGATCACCTGCTTGCTGAGTGGGGAAGGGTCTGTGTGGGAACAAACCCATCCTGTTGCACATGGATAAACACCTCTGGAGAAGTAGAGAGCAAGCACATCGGCTGCAACAAATTTCACCCAATAACCCTGTCTTTTGATTTATACCGCTTGCTCCCATCAAGTCTGGGCTCCTGCTTTAAAACTATCATACAAACTGAACTTGTAGTCTTAATTCTGCCTTGCATACTTGTTGTGAAACTCTGAACTTACTGCCTGTCAATCCTTTGTAAAAATGATGTACCTAAGGTGATGTTAGCTCAACAATTTTAAATGGTTTTTGATTTTCACAACCACAGACAACTATAGACTGAATAAGAGGTACCTGGGAGTTCTCTCTCTTGACCTTTCTTGTTACTCAGATGTGGCCTAAATGGTTTCTAATTACTCTGCACTTCCCCTCCAACATGGTACATGATAACCAGGAATGGTCCTTCCTGGCATCAGTGAACAAAACCACTATGTCCAGACAACCTGACTCTTGATCATCCATGCTTTTGGTGAAAGATCTTGATCAAAAGGGGAAATGTGAAATTTAATAAAGTGAAACTTCATTTAAAATACAATCATGTGAGGCCAACTCAGTGGCCTAGTGGTTAAGTTCACATGCCCTGCTGCAGTGGCCCAGGGTTCACAGGTTTGGATCCCAGGCGTGGACCTGGCACTGCTCATCAAGCTATGCTGTGGCGACATCCTATATAAAATAGAGGAAGATTGGCACAGATCTTAGCTCAGGGTGAAGCTTTCCCTGCAAAAGGAAAAGAGGGAGATTTTACGTTTTATCAAAATTAATTTCCTGTGTTGTTTTGATCAGGTCTTTACCCATAACAGCAAAGATTTTTCCTCACAGCTTTTAAAATTTCTGTATTTGCCTGAAAGTCTTTAATTGTCACCATGGTTAAATGGATAAGTAGGCCTTGTTTCACAGTGACCTATGATCCTATCTGACCAAGTGTTCTAAAACACTTTGATGTTTTTGACAAACTTCCCCAAATTCAAATTCAAAATTAAGTCTCTCTTTTGACCTGAAAGCAACTTTGAGAATTTCCAGCCAGCCTCTAGAACTCCTCAAAGAACTTGTTCTCTCCTCATAAAAAGGGAAATATTAAGCTAATCAGGCTTATTTGGTATGTTAAACCGCATTGGAAGCATTGTTAAACAGGTGCTGCTAAGCCTCCTTTATAGGATCTTTACATACATATATGTTATTAATGTAAATATTTTTAAAATCATATAAAGTTTTAAAATTTTCAATACCTCTTGGTATAATGTTATCACTTGCAATTCTACTTATCTTAAAATTTTACGTCACAGAAATAATCAAATTTCCTTGTCAATTTCATTATAAGAAGTCTTTTGTTATATACAGATAGCTGTTTTACTCTGATGCTTTTGCAAACATCTTTTATCTTCAGAAAGATTCAGGAAACATTCTAGATAGAGGTTCCTGAAGAACTTTCAGATCATAAACCTGAACTGGGTACAAAATTATAGAATGCTAAGAAACGAATGGCTTTAAAAAAAAAAAAAGCTCACTACAAAAGATCAAGAAAGAATATTAATTACACAGGACCACATGAACCAAAGTTTTGCTTTTCAAGATTTAAAAAAATCTTTTCTCTTGAGCTGTAATGATTTGGTAAGATGTACCTTCATGAATAAGGATGAAACATTTACTTTTTCTCCCTTCCTGATTCCTCCATAATTCAGAAACTCTCAGTATTATTTTCACTTACATAAAAATCAGACCAAATTTTTAATATAAGTGAATTAGTTTTACTGTATTTATCTTTGTAAAAAAAATGAAAGTAATTGCAGAGAGAAAAATTATAACTTTGTAGATACTGGATTCTAGTCCTGTTAATTCTCTTTGAGGTTTTGTTGTATACCTAGAGACTGGACTCTCCTAGCCTAAGGTATTGCCTTTGGTCTCACTGACTGCTTGCAGTGCCCTCTTTGGAAAACATGAACTGACCCCTTGTGGGATGATCACCAACAGATCAATGTCTGTTGGTATACAAGCTTCTGCTGATCCCTTATTGTCTTATGCTAGTATGACCAGCTACTCTAAGACTCTAAAGTCTTATGCCTGAACCTATCATCAACAGATTAAAGAACCTTTCCCAGATTCCAATTTAAAGGGCCCCACTGATCACAGCCTAGAGCCCATGACTGGGTATCTGGAAACATCATTAGAGGAAGACAGCCACGGAGCCCCATCAGAAAGGGCCTTCTCAACTCCTTCAGATGACCGGAAAGCCAGTCTGCCTTCAGACACCACAGGAAAGCTGGCTCACAAAAACAACTTCCAGGAAGAGAAGTAGCCGACATCTGTTGTAGACAGCTGTCCCAAGACCTGTATTTCCACTTCCACAACTACTTAATATTACCAGTCACATTTTTCAAATGTTATTTAAGATATTTCTGATACTGTGTTTGTTTTTCCAATCCACATCTGAACGGGACCCAGATAGCAATGTCCTTTTACAGTGGGCTCATTCCTTTGCTACACACAAAAATCAACCTACCTGTTGGATATGTGGGCAACTCCCTCTTTCTAGTTCATCTGGGTTACCTTGGTAGATTATTCCCCTTCAGGGCAGACTGGAAAGCTCTGAAACAATTTATTGTGATGGAAAGATCTAGTTCAAGCATTCACAGCACATCTGACCTTTCTAATTTTGACCCTGACACCTGGCCAATAGCCCATCCTATTAATGATACAGTGCATAACTACTTTTTTTCTCTTGCCAAAACCACCCAGTTATCTCAACAATTTTCAATTACAGCAAAGAAACTAGATACTATGAACAGAACCATGACAGGTTTCACTCAGATCTTGGATGGATATATTTGGCTGACTCCTAGCTATGGAACTTTAGACATACTGGCACCTTTATGCTGGGAACAAGGAAATCATTCTAGACAAAGTCAACCTAACTGCACTCGAGACATGGGATGGATATCCTGAGTCATGCAAAAATACCATTAGACTTAAACAAGGTGACTGGTTTGGGACAGACTTGTCTCTACAACCAAGCATTTACTGAGTGACCAATAAAAGACTTCAGTGGTGATGTGAACAAACCTTTGGCGCTGGCTTCCACCTGGCTGGCTAGGGCATCGCACGCTGCTTTCTTTTGGATGCAAGGAAGGACTCACCCTAAATTAACAACTGTCACTAATCTCCCTTTCCTCAAACCCAGATGGACTCATGCAATTTTTCACTGGTATCATCACCGGGGTGCTATATTCCTTCTATAGGATTAGAGGATGTCATATCACATATAGAAGCCCTGACTAAGCTCACTCAACAGGCCCTTAATGATAGTCAAACTGAATTATCATTATTGAATACTAAAATGTCTTTAACGAGTAAAGCCTTCCTCTAAAATAGAATGGCCCTCGATATTATAACTGCATCACAGGCTGGTACATGTGCAATCATGCAAACTCAATGCTGTGTTTTTATACCTGAAGAGTATCCCAATGTGTCATCTCTGCTAAATCTCATGAAAAAGCAAGTAAATGACCTTAGCGATCCTACCCCTAGTCTAAATGATTTATTTAGTTGTCTTTCTATGGGCATCAGCACACTTCTGTGATCCAGATTTTATCTCCTAATTCTGTTATTCCTTCGAATCCAGGTATTAAGCATATTTAAACTAATCATTGTTGTCTTTACTCAGTGCTGTAAAACCAGCATTCAGGCTACAGTGATGGTCTCGTGATGACGAGAGCCAATACACTTGATTCCCCAACTTCAAGGTCTCTTCAAGACGATCTCATCAATGTATAGGCACATCTTATTGAATTTGGCTCTCCCTCATCTTGTCTGCCTTGCTGCTCAAATGTGGCCCTGCCTAACGATAAGTAAGAGATTACATGTAGAACCTCATTCCTATTTCCCCATTCCATGCCTTCCAGATCTTTTTAGTTGATTACCCTCAAGTCTGGGTTACCTTGTAAGATTGGATTTCCAGGGCCTTGTGTTATCATTGGTTTTAGAACTAAGCATCTGGTTCTTCTTTAAAATAATTCCAGCTTGCTTCCACACATGCCTCTGGGAAACACCAACCCGAATCATGATGACTCAACATTTTCCAACCATAAATGTAACCATCACCAGAACCTCCAAGAACTTCCACTCTGAGACCTCAATTGACCTATGACAGGTACCTGGATGGATCCCTAACCTGCATGACCCAAGTTACTCAATTCAATAACTGAGTCCCACTAAGCCCACGAGTCCCTCTGTGGAACTAGATGGACCCGAGGTAGGCAGAGGCCACTTCAGCACCGAAATGGGACAAACACCAAACTGATCATCAGTGCTGCCTGTGGCAGATTTTGAACAAAAGGGAGAATTATGGAATTAGAATTTTTAAAAAAGAGGACCCTGAAAAGAGAAAGACAAAATGAACTCTCTGTGGCTAACTGGGACCTAAAAAAAACAGTCAAATGGCCCTGCAAAGTGCAGTCACGCAGTCTCTTCTCAGAAAAACTACAACTCATACCTGAAACAGCATTCCTTCCTGGCAGATGGCCAGAAGGCTGATATAACTGATCTTAGAACACCAGTATCTATAGGGGAACTGATGAATCAGAGGACTTTGAAAATAATCCCTGTGGTCTATGGTTTTTGCCTTTATAAACTCTGGCTTCTGATACCCTCTCTGGAGCGAGCTTCCAGTTTATTCCAGAGGCTGCATCTCCCTGGTTTGCAAACTGTATGAGCAATAAAGATTCCCTAACTACATTCTCATGTTCCAGATATTTTTTGTTGACAATGCTATTGCACATTTAATAGGCTACTGTAAAGTGTAAACATACCTTTTATACACACTGGGAAACCAAAAACTTTGTGACTCATTTATTGCAATATTTCTTTATTGCAGTCATCTGGAACCGAAGCTATGGTATCTCTGAAGTTTGCCTGTATATGAAATTTCTAGTTTATCTATCAAAAAACAATCCCCATTATACATTCTTAAGAAATTCATGAACATTAATCTTTTGAAATTAATTCCGAGTGCTCCAAGTACAAAAAATAGTATTATTTTTATCTTTATTTCTGAAATTTTCTTTGATTTCCTATTTTTCATATGGTAGCTGTATTTCTTTTTTTCTATTATGTAATGGTGCGAGCCATGGATCTTATTTCAGCACAAAAAATGGCATTAAAAGTATAAACATATGGTGTATATTTATGACTGGGGAGGCAGGTCTTAGGGGCAGGAGAGTCTGAAATTGCACTGCTATGATATTTTCACTATAGTCACAGAAATAGTCTGGGATACATGATGGAGTGCACACCTCATAGGCAAATTATGAATATATATTTTAAAAGCTGTAAACTGTTTTAATCCAACAGGGAAAGAAAGAGTTATAGACGCCATTCAACCTAGAAAGCATAATGATGTATCTATCATTAGTGTTCCTTATGAAGCACCCCAATGAGGTGGGATATGCTCGGGTTAAGGGAAGGCACATGATTCATTCAGGGTTACCAAAAAACATTTACACTTTACTTATTTAGACATGAGAAGTATAATATATGCTAAATAAAGGGGTATAAAAATACAATTTCAGTGGCCAAATTGCATCTTTCAGAAGCACACTCTACTCTGGTTCTTTTGATCAAACTGTCCTCTATAATCCTGTCTCTTCAGTTTCCAAAAATAAGACTAATTTCCCTAATCTATGATATACAACACCTATTACCTCTCAACAGAGAGGGATACCATCATTCCCCCTCCATTTTTTGTACCACATATGCCATCCCCAGTAACCATCATTCTATTCACATGAAAATGTCATTCTCTAACGTTCTGGCCTACTCTTTTTCATGATCATCTGGTAGAGCAATCCTTTCCTATAACAATTGTCAAAGGCCCACGGTCCTAACAACAAATCTACACAAGGGGCTGTGACCACAGACAGCATGATAATTTAAATATTTTACATCTATTCTCTGCCACTCCCTGTGCTCTCAAATTTATACCACACTGTACTTTAAAATTAGTGACCTAGTTTTTCCAGGTTTCATGGATATGAATAAACTCCACCTAATGAAGCAAGTCCTTTCATCGTACCAATCCCTTCCCTGAGACCATCATGATAGGATGACAAATGAAAAGCAAATAATGAAGGTATAACATCAACAGGTTTCAAACTTCAGGTTGTAAGTCATCAATAATAATGTAGCCTTTTCATGAAACCTCAAATAACTGAACAAAAATATTTTATAAACTGAAGATTGACACACATCATCTTAAGTTAGAAAGAATTTTAACTTTTAATCTCTGTGGAATTTAACATCTGAGGTTTCTGAATCTTCAAAACTAAAGGACTTACTTCTCTCTAGTATGAATTTTATTTTATTCCATTAAGAGAATTGGTTAAACAATTTATTACCTTCATTACATTTCAAATGTGTTATAATATGTCCCTCCAGTATGAATTCTTTGGCATATTATGAGGTCATTGCTTAAAGGCATTGACACATTTGTATGGTTTCCACCTTATATGAATACTTTCATGACCACAAAGTTGTACGTTTTTGATAAAGCTGGTAACACTCATTACATTTATAAGATTTCTCTCTAGTAAGAATTCTCTTACGTTCCACAAGGCTTAAATTTTGGATATGCCTTACCATACATTACACTTATGTGGTTTCTTTCAAAGATGTATATTCTGAGATCAAGTGAGGTGTGGGCTCTGGTTACCAGCTTCGACACATACATTATTATTATATGGCTTCTCTCCACAATGGAGTGTCTGATGTTGAGTAAGGCTTGAACACTTGCATAAGTTTTGTGCCAATCATTATATTTGTAAGCTTTTTTGCTATTATGATCCTCTGAGATTCCTCAAAGCTTGAGCTTTTGAATAAAAGGACTGACACTCATAGTAGGTTTGTAATGTCCCTTTTCAGTATGTATTTTCTGATACCTAGTCACACTTGGAAATTGGGTAAAAGTCTGCCACACTCATTACATTTGTAAGATTTCTCTCCAGTATGGATTCTCTGATGTTTCATAAGGCTTGAAAAGTGGGTAAAAGATTTGCCACATTCATACACTTGTATGGTCTCTCTCCGGTATGGATTCTCTTATGCTGAGTAATGCCTGAAATCTCAGCAAAGGCTTTGCTGCATCCACTACTATTATAAGGTTTCTCTCCGGTGTGAATTCTCTGATGAATTGCAATGTTTTGCTTTTGACCACAAACCTAGCCAGGTTCATTATATTTGTAAAGTTTCTGTCCAGTATGGATTTTCTTATGTCGAGTAAGATGTGAACTCTGCATAAAAGTTTTGCCACACTCAGTACATTTGAAAGGTTTCTCTCCAGTATGGATTCTCTTATGCTGAGTAAGTCTTGAACGCTCAGCAAACACTTTGCCACATTCATTACATTTGTAAGGTTTCTCTCCAGTATGAATTCTCTGATGAATTGCAAGGTTTGACTTTTGATTACAGACCTTGCCACACTCATTACATTTGTAAGGTTTCTCTCCAGTATGGATTTTCTTATGTCGAGTAAGATGTGAACCCTGCATAAAAGTTTTGCCACACTCATTACATTTGAAAGGTTTCTCTCCAGTATGGATTTTTTTATGTCGAGTAACGTATGAAACATCCATAAAGGCTTTACCACACTCATTACATTTGTAAGGTTTCTCTCCAGTATGGATTTTCTGATGTATTGTAAGGCTTTCAAATCGGTTAAAAGATTTGCCACACTCATTACATTTGTAAGGTTTCTCTCCAGTATGGATTTTCTGATGTCTTTTAAGGCACACAAAATGGGTAAAAGATTTGCCACACTCATTACATTTGTAAGGTTTCTCACCAGTATGAATTCTCTGATGACTTTCAAGGCTTGACTTTTGACTAAATACCTTGCCACACTTACTACATTTGCAAGGTTTCTCTTCAGTATGGATTATCTTATGTTGAGTAAGACCTGAATGTCTAGCAAAGGCTTTGCTGCATTCACTACATTTGTAAGGTTTCTCTCCATTATGGATTCTTTTATGTTGAGTAAGCCTTGAGCGTTTAGCAAAGGACTTGCTGCATTCATTACATTTGTAAGGTTTTTCTCCAGTATGGATTCTTTTATGTTGAGCAAGCATTGAGTGTCTAGGAAAGGCTTTGCTGCATTCATTACATTTGTAAGGTTTCTCTCCAGTATGGATTCTCTTATGTTGAGTAAGGCTTGAATGTCTAGCAAAGGCTTTCTTGCATTCATTACATTTGTAAGGTTTTTCTCCAGTATGGATTCTTTTATGTTGAGTAAGCTTTGAGTGTTCAGCAAAGGCTTTGCTGCATTCACTACATTTGTAAGGTTTCTCTCCAGTATGGATTCTCTTATGCTGAGTAAGGCTTGAACATCTAGCAAAGGCTTTGCTGCATTCATTACATTTGTAAGGTTTCTCTCCAGTATGGACTCTTTTATGTTGAGTAAGCCTTGAGTGTTTAGCAAAGGCCTTGCTGCAGTCATTACATTTGTAAGGTTTCTCGCCAGTATCCATTCTCTGATGACTTGCAAGGTTTGAATTCTGATGAAAGATTTTGCCACCCACATCACAATTATATGGTTTCTCTCTTGTATGGATTTTCTGATGTCTACTAAGGTTCAAGCACTTATTAAAAGCTTTGCCACACTCATTACATTTGTAAGGTCTCTGTGCAGAATGAATTCTCTCATGTTTTGAGAGGTATGAGCTTTTCCTAAAAGCCTTCCTGAACTTAGTACGTTTGTAAGATTTTTCTCTAGTGTGTGTTCTCCCATATTGTGCAGGTAACAAAAGATATTTAAAAACCTTCCTATATTTATTACAAATGTTTCTGACACTAGGAGGAATTTTTTGAAGTGGCAAAACTGAGGAACCACGATTGACAGACTTCTCAACTTGATTGCATTTATAAATTTTCTCCTCAGTTTGCAATCTCTGCAGTTCCATCCAGTGTGCCTGCAAACTTAATCCAGTTCTATTTTCCAAACACTTTATATACTCATTTCCAGCATCACTTACAATATTTCTTAGTTTTAACAAATTGCCTATAAATGGCTCACCATGCATGCAATATTGGTATGTATTATCTCGTACAGACACACTCTGCTTTTGAAGAAAATTAGTTGTAGATTTATTACATTCATCTGTTCTATGAATGAACTGTCCATTATGGATTAAAGGCACTCCTTTGTGATTTCTTGCATCATATCCCCACACACTCCCAAACTCATGCATATTTTCCAAGAATTCTTTGAGGTCAAAATCCTTGATGCCATGGCTTTCATTTCTTTCCAATATCAGTAGATGATAGAATTCTCGTTCATTAATGCCCTCTCTTTGTGATAATCCTTTTATTGCAAATCCAGCAGAAAGGTTTCCTACTAAAAAGAGTTGGAAGATAAATGGTTTATATTGAATTAGGTAATTATACAAAAAATAATCCTTATAATGAACATAGTTATGAAATTTCTGATGCAGTCTTCAAATATCATTGTAATATACAGATTTCTAAATTTTTAGTTTTATATCTTTTCCATATTAATATTTTTCTCCCATCTTTGATAATCAATTTTCAAAACACACCATATATACTATATTTTCTGCCCATATAACTGGATAATTAAATGATACTCCATAGTTAGGGAGCTGATCTACCTACTGGCTAGTATATAACCATAGGCATAAAACGATAATGGAGATTTGAGATTGTTTTCTGTAATTCTTAATCTTTATAATAAGGTGTGTTGACATGATGTGAAAAAAGATACTGAAAGAAAAAATGTATAAAACAATAACAATAAATAGAACATTTTCTAACCCATGATAAATTACCAGGTAAGTTAATAACTAACCACAATTACATAAAATAGTAGTCTCTGAAATTCTAAAGAATTCTTCCTAAGGTACTAAGCAAAGAATTTATATTCAAAATGGAGCACACAAAAGTAAAAAGGAACAATATGTTGAGAATCAGTAAATATGAAATATTGGTTTCAGATAAACACATATTATTATAAAGATTAAAAATTAGGGAAGCCTGTCAGATATCTCAATTATGATTTCATGCCTGCAGTTATATAATAGCTAGTATATAGACCAACTCTGTAACTATGGAGTATCATTCAATTATGCAGTTAGAGGTTCAAAAAATGTAGACAGTATATAGGACATAGTTTGAAAATTTAATATGTAAGATGAGAGAAAATAATATAGAAAAAAATTATGAAAACAAAGTGTACAAGATATAATGCAGCGCATGTGGCATGGGGAGGCATAGGTCCTATGGAAACTGGGGTGCCTAGGTGATCAAAATTAATATACAGAAAGGCACCAGTGTCATTCATTTAGATCAATAAAAGATCTAAGGAAATGCTAGGACCAGGATATAGAACAAGAAGAGTGAAGGGCAGGGTGTAATGGGCAATGTGGGAGCAGTGCTTGTGCTTGCAACGTATGGGAATATGACTATGCTACGGCAGTTAAAATTCTAATCTCTGAAAAAGAGAGGAACTCCTTCAGCAAGAGGCGTAATACTCATTCTGTAGGAACTATTCCATGAGATGAGGCAAACAAGAGAAGAGATTAAAAAGGGAGACAGTGTGGTGTTATGGGAAGAATGTAAATTTACATCTTTTCCAATATTTGCTCTGAAAGTGATCAAAGTGAATATGCCATAAATTCCATTTTTAGGCATATACTCAAGAGAGTCACATATAAATTCCAGAAGACATGTACAAGAACATTCTTAGTAAGACCCAAAGGGAAAAACCTGGAAATGACCACCAAGAGAAGAATGGATGAATTCACTCTCTACAAACTCATATGGATGCAATAAAACCCGCTCAAGGGTCCAGCAATAGAGGGTGACCACGGGTGTTGGATGATCTCTGACAGGGGGCACAGAGCTTGCACGGTGGGAACAAAGTTAGCAGGAGGTTATTGTCAAGGTTTCAACTCTTGGGGCATGTGATTATATTTGGTAAAACATAACTTATGAACTATATTATATAGATTTAAAATTAGAAATTTATAAGTTTTGACACATTGAGTTTGTTAGTCCAAGTGTCCTTATTTGTTATACAAAAATAAGAGTCTCTTTTGCTTTAATATTTTAACTGTTTGAAGTCATTTCTTTGGATCTCTTTATATTACAATCCCAAAGTTATAAGACATAGCATGTGAGAAGTGCGCTTACTATATGTATTACTAGGTATATACTAATTATCATTATGAATTTACAGAAATTAATACACACTTATCTAAAAGTAATGAATTCTGACTTCACAAACATCAGAAAGCAGTACCCTTTAAGGGTGTAACTAAATGACCTAGAGCACAGAATAGCTGGTAAGGAAAAAGGATGTTAGTAGCAGCATTTAAGTGTAGAAATAATTTTTGGCAGTACCATGGTGATCCACGACAGAGGTCTATGTGCAGAGATGTGGAGAGCAACATAACTATCCAATAATACTCAGAACCACAGGACAGCAATGGGATGTGTGTCAACAAGTACCAGGTGATTTTTACAGAATTCAGGTGAAAGGGAGGACAGGGAACAAAACAGGTTTCATGGGTGAACTGAAATACATAATTTGAAGAACTTAAATTGTCTGGGCAACATGAGTCTCAGAAGCAGTAGTAAGGAGGGAACAACGGAGTAGAAAAGGTGCCTAAATTGTCTATTAAATAAAATGGGATATTTAAATATTAGGTTAGTATACCAAGATGTGCATGATGAATCTAGACAGAATAATTATTAGAATAAATTATTCGTTGCAAAAAAAAAGTCAGTGAAATTAACATCAAATCCAAGTATTTTTTAGAAAAGTACATACATATGGAAAAACTACAGTATCTTATATAAAAAAATATGGAAAAACCACTTGAATGATATTTCTGTAGGTAAGAAACTTCATTTACTTTCCAACATACTGAACATTCTCAGTTTCAACAATTCAATAGATTTAATTGAGGAGAGCATGTAAAAACAATGAGATACCACTACATGTTATGAGAATAAACCAAACCTAGAACACTGACAACACCAAATACTGGCAAGGATGTGGAGAAAGAACTCTCATTCATTGCTGGTGGGAATGCAAAATATTATAGCAACAATGGAAGACAGCTTATAGTTTCTTTAAAAACTGAAGGTATTCTAACAACACGATGTAGCAATCATACACTTTGGTATTTACCCAAATGAGCTGAAAACTTATTTCCAATAAAAACTTGCATATGAATGCTTATAGCAGCTTTATCTGTAACTGCCATTAACTTGGAAGCAACCAAGATGTCCTTCGGAAGGTGAATGGAGAAATAAACTGAGGTACATCCAGATAATGGAAGTATCCATCACTAAAAAGAAACAAGCTATTAAGGCATGAAAGACATGGAGGAAACTGAAATGCATATAACTAAGTGAAAGAAGAAAATCCTAAAGGTCTATAGACTGTTTGATTCCAACTATAGAACATTCTGGAAAAGGCATATGGAGACAGTAAAGAGATCTGTGGTTGCAAGGGTTAAGAGGGAGGGAGAGATGAACAGGCACAGAACAGAGATTTTCGGGCAATGACATTAGTCTGTAAGATACTATTGTGGTACATATGTGTCGTTATACAATGGCCAAACCCATAGAATGTACAACCCGAAAAGTGAACACTAAGGTAAAGATGGACTTTGGGTGATGATGATGTGTCAGTGTAGGTTCATGAATGGTGACAAATATAGCACACTGGTGTGGGATTTTGATAATGGGGAGGGTCTGCTTATGTGGGGGTAGGAAATGCATGGGAAATCTCTGTACCTTTTGTTCTATTTTGCTGTGAAACAAACTGCTCAAAAAACTTGTCTATCAAAAAACATGTCTCAACACTACTAAGCACTAAGTAATATGAAACAGAAGTAAAAATAATAACTAACACTATTTTCAAAAAATCCTAGAGGTTCTACAGGTCTTGGAGAAACTAATATTGAGTTATAGCCACTCAAGAAAGAAATCATATAAAGTATATAAAACAAAACTCATTCCATGACCCCACAACCCCAAATTGCAGATATAAAATAAAGAACACTAAAAATATCATCAAAAATATTGAACTGATTAAATAAATAGAAAACAAGGTCATTTATAACATTGAAACTTGGAAGATGAAAGTTATCAGTAACTTAAAACAAGTTACAGTAGACTTAAAATGTAGGCATCATTCCACTTTATAAACTCCCTCAACAAGACGTGTCAAAGCATATTTGTTGAAGGTGAATGAAGAAAAGCACACACACGGGATAAACAATGTGACAGGAACAGTAGTTTAGTCAACAGTCTCACAGAAATTAGGTTGTGAACTTGGACAGTGTTCTCCTTAGGTTAAGTTCATGCACCTTTTATTTATTGCTGGCTCAAAGGAGATAGATTATTGTATAATGTCTGAACAATACTGTCATACTGCCCCTAGGGAGACACTATTAAACTCCTCAAAAAACAGGAAACTGGAAACATTTGTCAGGCTTTCCTAATACTTTCTACCTCAGTATCCTGGGACATGCTATCCACTACCCAGTGGCTTCAAGAGGCACTTCCGTACGTAGGAGGATGATGTTCTAATATTAATCAATGTTCTGCTTCCAGAATGTCTGTTACCCAGTAAACATCCTCCATGGGAGAGTCCACCAGAAGTTTTCATCACCTAAAGATGAGTTATCTCAACAGAAAGTGAGGATGAAACTTCAGACCCTTGGACCGTGTTGTTTCAAAAGCAAGTTTCAGAGGCAAAATCTTAGGAAAATAAGATATCAGGGAGACCAGGTATTTCTACGTTCCCTGAAAGAGAGAGCAGAAAGAAGGATAAAATATAAGGTATGGGAGAAAAATAAGAGAGTCAGATTCTGCTTAGTTCTTAAGAAGGGCCTATGTGCTGTGCCTACAGGCTGTGGGGCAGAGGCCTGAAAGACTGAGATAGAGTCCCATGTAGCAGTGGGGACCAGAGAGAGGGTCCAAGTGTCCAGTCTTTATATTACTGCTCAGTAACAATCTCAAATCTTAAAATCTATTTAACAATCTCCAATCATATTCTGCTTTGCACATATGTGGCAAAAAGAAAACTGAAGAGATGGCTGAGGGGCCTGAAAAGGCAGACAGGGCTTGACAAAGCCCGGGGAGTTTCATGGAAACCCAGAGACAATGGAAGAGCAGCTATTTTGTTTGTTTATCTCCTGAGAAGTTCTCCCAAGGGCGTGAAACATGAGTGGAAACTGAATAGGTCTTGGGGTCAGGACTACAGAGGCCGGAGCTCTGATCCATATGGACAGAGAACCAAGAGAGATCAAGGGGAAAGAAGACTCCTTAGAGACAGCCATCTCGCTTTCCCTCAACCCAAAGGACCAAAGTGGTGAGAAGAGCCAGATAATAGCACATCGTATGTCATGATACAGCTTTTGCCTGCCTCTGCGTGGGCTGGAGCATCACGGGACGGTGCAAGTTTAAACAGTTACACACTTCAATAACACTGCTAAGTGTGTAAGTGGTTGGTGGGGGGAAATTTCTTTGAGAGCTCACAAGAAATAAACTTTTATTTTCCCACAGATCTTTCCCCATTGAGGAGTTTCCCAAACAATAGTTAATCGAGGCAGCTTGCTCTGAGCCCATCTATCTGAACTCTTACTTGTGCTCACATCTCCACACATTCCCATCTGTCTGCGTTTGTTCCTATTTTCCCCTCACTCTCCATAGTCCAGGGCTGTTTCCCTTACTCAAAAACGGAGATAATATTCTACTGAAGAGAGACTTCAACTTACAAAGAAAAATGGAACAGGATATGCTATGCTTTTCCAGAACACATTCTCAGCTCTTTGTTCAGCAGAGAGGACATTATAGGTGGGTCTAGAAAAGTATTTCAAAAATCAGTCAGCTGACTGCCTCCTTCTGAATGCTAAGAGGTTAAGTATGCAGGCACCCAGCTCTCTCCAAAGAACTACTCAATCAAAAGCACAAGAGTAAAGCCACAGAATCAGATATTTTAAAAAATTTGCCATAAGGTTCTCTGATTATTAATGTTCTGCAATCACCATTAAACAAGCACAAAATGCACAGAACTTCTGAAGAAAGGGGGACTTAAGAATCCATACGCCACATTATGAAACCTTTCCTTTCTGAGTCAAAGCAGCTTCAATCACTCTCTTAAGAACAGGAATCTGAAACTCAGACAAGCAAGTCAGGGGCTCCGAGGAGACTCACAAGGGAAAACGCAAGGATATACAATAGTAGTTACCAATTTCGGGAGGGAAGTTCTCCTCACCCAGGGAGAGCAGGTTCCTGTAGTTCTCCAGCATCACGTCCCTGTACAAGGCCCTCTGAGCGGGGTCCAGGCTTTCCCACTCCTCCTGAGAGAATTCGATGGCCACGTCCCTGAAGGTCAACTGTCCCTGAAAGGAAAGCACATTTCACCACGTGAACAGGGAGAGGGCTCTTATTCTGACACAAAATGAGAGCAGAGATGTGCAAGGACTGACTTGCCTGCAGTGAGTGTTTTCACTGAATCATGTAAGATAATTCTGAACAAGTTATATGTCTAATTTTCTTTTAACTGAGGTGAAATTCACATAACATAAAGTTACCCATTTTAAGTACAATTCAGTGGCATTTAATACATTAATAATGTTGTGCAAACATCACCTCTATCTAGTTCAAAAACATCTTTATCATCGCAAAGGAAATCCATTACCCATTAAGCAGTTGCTTCCGATTCCCCTCTCCCCAGTCCCTGGTAATCACTAATGTGCTTTCTGTCTCTATGGATTTACCTATTTTAGATATTTTCATATCAATGGAATGTTATGAAATGGGTGACCTTTTGTGTGTGGCTTCTTTCACTTAGAATATTTTTGGTTCATCCATGGTGTAATATCTATCAGGACTACATTCCTTTCCTATGGCTGAATAATTTCATTGTATGACTATACCACATTTAGTTTATTCTCTCATCCTTTCATGGACATTTGAGTTGTCACCACCTTTGGCTAATGTTGACAATGCTGTTATGAACAGGTGTTTGAATATCTGTTTTCAATTCTTTTGGTTATATACCTAGGAGTGGAATTTCTGGGTACATGGTTTAACGTTTTACAGATCTGCGACACTGTCTTCCACAGTAGAGACAACATTTTCCAGGAATGTATCAGGATTCTAGTATCTTCTTATCCTTACCAACCCTTGTTATTTTGTTTTAGTATACTCATCATAATGGGTGTGACATGGTATCTCATTGCAATATTGACTTTGCATTTTCCTTATGATTAATTTCATCGACCATCTCTTCATGTGCTTGTTGGCCACTGTATATCTTCTATGGAGAAATGTCTATTAATGTCTTTTGACCATTTTTTAATTGAGTTCTTGAGTTTTGGTTGTTGAATTGTATGAGTTCTTCATATATTCCGTGTACTAGACCCTGACCAGATACACGATTTACAAACATTTTCTCCCATTTAGTAGACTGTGTTTTCATTTACATGGCAGTGTCCTTCGAGGGACATAATTTTTAATTCTCTTCATTTATTTTTTTAATAATTATTCCTATTTTTTTATTGTGGTAACATTGGTTTATAACACGATATAAATTTCAAAGGTACACTGTAATATATTTCGAACTCTGTGTAGCTTACATCACGTTCACCACCCAAAGACTAATTACAATCCATCACCACACACATGTGCACCTTTCACCTTCCTAAATTTTAATTTTGATGGAGACCAATTTACCTATTTTGTCTTTCTCTCTTTCCTTTTGATGTCATATTTAAAAGTCCACTGCCAAATCCAAGGTCAGGAAGATTTACCCCTAAGTTTCCATCTAAGAGTTTTACGGTTTTATGTCTTACATTTAGTCTTTGGTTCATTTTGAATTCTTTTCTTTATATGGAGAAAGGTGGAGCTTCAATTTCATTCTCTTTCATGTGGATATGCAGTTGTCTCAGCACCACTTCTGAGACTATTCTTTTCTCACTGAAAGTTTTTGGCGCCCTTGTGAAAAAGGAATTGACTATAGATGTATGGGTATATTTGAGGACTCTCAGTCCTACTGCTCGGATTTATATTTCTATCCTCATGGTGGAACCGCAGTTTTGCTTACTCTAGATCTGTAGTAAAATTTGACATTGGGAATTTTAAGTCCTCCAACTTTGTTCTTTTTCACCATTATTTTGGTTATCTGGAGTCCTTACCAATTCAATATAAATTTTAAAATTGGGTTTCTGATTTGTGCAAAAATGGCTGTGGGGATTTTGGTGGGGATTCCACTGAATCTTGACAGTCCTTTGGGGAGTACTGTGACCCAAACAACACTAAGTCAACATTTTAGGTGGGACCCTTCAGAGCCAGAGAAGATTAGCAAGCACAAAATATGGTAATTTAGGAAGGAGAAAACAGAACAATCAGCTAAGAATAGGATTTTTACCTGAGAAAGAGCCATTCCACCTTTCTTTCCTCTTCCTCTGAGATTCTCAGGTTAGATTCTTCTGTATGACAAAAATATGTTGTTCTCCAGTTAGAATCAACACACCCCCTTCCTCTGCCACAAGAACCTTAATACAGGTGACAGACCACCCTTTGCTGCCCACTGTAACAGGAGGGATGCAGGGACAATAAACTCCATACAGAGACCAGTTATATGAGTTTTTCAACCATTTCTTCAGAAAGCCCGCCCCTCCTACTGTTTGAAACCCACACACTCTGCTGCAACTGCATTGTCCTTTATCCAGTTGGCACGAAGCATAAGGAAACTGCCTCATCCAGGTGCTTGATTCCTCCCCTGGGGGCCAGCATCCAATGAGTGGTTGATGCAGCATATAAAAGTCTGTCCCTTCCTTCAATATGGACCAACTCTAAAGGGGTACCCAGCTCCAGAGCTCCCTGCTGTAGCAATACTGAGAAGTTCAGGTTTTTGTCCTGAGGGGGATGGGAAATCATAAGAGGGTTTATTGCCAAGAGATGACACACTCAAACTTAAGATTTATTCATGAAACACAGAGAGGCAGAGAGTGAAGCTGAAAGCGACGCATGCCTGTCTGAGCTTCTGCCCCTGCCTCTTTCTCAGAGGTTTTCATTCTTTTTGGAGGACTGGGACACATTTCAATCTCTAATTCTAACTGGCACCCTCTCCCAGAAAACTACCAAATGCAGACAACATGCCCACTTTTGAACATCATTCCAGGGCTCCCATTTGCTCAGACTCAGCATTCCTGGTCTGCTCTCTCAACTCCATGTTACAGGTGGTGTACCGAGGCTCAGAGGGGAAGTAAGTTTACCAAGTTACCCTGAAGAGGGCTGAGTTCAGTGAGCAGACCTGGGTGTAAGTGGTGGTCTGGATTGAGCAGTAGAAAGGGACTGCTCTAATTCCAGATTACCTTTCCTATTCCTGAGAAAGGGAAGTTCTCTTTCACAGATTCCTGGGAAAGGGAAGATTCTCTTTCACAGCTTTAATCAAAGCCAAGCATTTACTTCCTGTTTTCCAGAAACATATTTACAAAATGAAGTTACAATAGTTAACAGTCTAGGAAAACATGAAAGAGCATCACATGGAGATGAGCTCTGAGCAGTCAGATCATCTGGAAGAGATGGGCTCTACTGGAACAAAGTTCCACATTAATCCAGCTGATAAATAAATGGCAAGTAATAGGAGATATTGGAGTAAATGAGGAATCCATCTGGTGTAAAAATAACTCAGCCTGACCTTGTTTTTTCCAACAGGGCCTGATGTGGCCGTTGAGCATGCATTGTATATCTGCTTTAAGCACTTGCTATGTCCCGAAGACAAGAACAAATGCCCTTAAGACATGACTTCCACTACACTGGCATTTCCTTAAGGATAAGCATCTCTCCCGAGGCTAGGGATTAATTGCTGCGCCCACCCCGTGTCCACCCAGCTCAAGACAACAGACCTGCTACCTGCTGTGTGAATACCTGTGCTGTGCAGGCCAGGCAATCTCATGACTGTTGTAAAAGGGACATTCCTATCATACATGACGTACGCTCTTTGTTCCAAGATGGCATATAGCCACTCTGTACACCCACTTCTCCGGTGCCCTTCTTTCCTTGAGGAAGGAAGGTCCAAGGCTAGTCCACAGATCTGGCTCATAATAAACTCGCCCAAATTTTGATTTATACATTGGTTATAGATTATTTGCACTGACACAGCCCATCCTTCAGCATCTGCACAGAAAGGACACAGGGGACTTGAGGGGGACATCTACTTATTTGGAGGCTTCAGCTCAGAGGTCACTAATTTAACAGGTCACTTCAGGGAAGAAAGAAGCTCTTGCCTACTAAACTAGCTGGTTAAACTAGGTTTTCAATGTTAGAATATTATCAACATCCTTACCAGATGCATAGGGAAATACTATTACTTATTTACAGACATGAAACAATAGTTCCAATATATAATAGAGTAGCAAGCATATAAACCTCATACCCTACACAATAAAATTAATAGGGAAAATAATTTGGAAATTAAAAAAAATGGTTAAGTTAAACCAAGTGCGAGGACACATCAAATTTAGAAAAGATGAGATGAGCCACAGGTGACAGTCCTCCGCCATTTCTTGAAAGGGAAGAGGGTGACCTGGAATTGACTGAGCTAAGTCTCTGCCCTCAGGGTGGACAGGGGCTGCAAATGGAATTCTCTTCTGGTGCAATAGTTAGAAAATGCGGGCGCCACAAACACCTGGTTTTGTAAGTCTCATTCTCTTCGGCATAATTTAAGCAGTTCAACAAATCTTAAACTAATTATAAAGCCACAAGTTAGGACTACTTCACACCTTAATATCCCATATCCAGTCAACTCACTACTCCCTGGGATTGGGTCCCCCACTTTCTCCACCACTGTGTGTTTTCTTCTCTGTATTTGCCTCTCTTTTTCCTTCTAGTTCTCTTCTCTCCTTTGTCCATTTCCGTGTTTCTCCCTGTTTCTCCGCATCCTTTTGTTTCCCTCCCTCTCTATTCCTCCTTCTCCTACAGTGTCTGCTGTAACCTCTGTTTCAACGCCTGCTGTTCTTTCTCCCGAAACTTTCTGGTGACCCTCTAACTCCACATATTTCCGCCTCTTTCTCCCCACCTCTGTCCCCCTCTGCTCTCCCTGGAGGGGACGAAGGGCTTGTATCCACCTCCTGAGTGAGGCCGCTACCAAGCGGCGGGGCGGGGGGCGGGGAGTCGGGCGTCAGACAAAGGGTTTGAGCAGAAAAACGACGCGGCAGCCGGTCGGCGTCTCCGTGGACCGAAGGCAGAAAGGTCGGGCTGCACCCGCCTCGGAGCGATTTTAACCGGAAACGGACGCGACTCCCGAACCCGCCCGGAGCCACAGGACGTCTTACGGCGACGCCGCGAGAGGAGAAAGGGACGAACTCACAGCGAGAGGGACGAGCGGGTTCAG